CCGTCCGTTTATCCTTTGCATTCATCTTAATATACAGTCTAAACTAGAATTAAAAATTGCATTTGAACCTATAGATCAGACGATCTCGGAGGGAGGTGAAAATCCCCCCAAAAATAATACCAAAAGAAACCCCAAGGAACAGTGGAAAAGACAAACGAGAGAGAAACGTCCAAGAAAAAGCCCAGGTCCCGAAGCTCCACAGTAAAAAGGAGAAGCGCACAGGCCACAGTGGATAGTCCCGGATACACTTGGCTGAAGCTCATTTCCTTACCGGGAGAGGAAGCTGAGCTTTCTTATTTATTTGGAATTCAAAGTTTGGTTAACCGAGAACCTGTGACGGAGGATTTACCGATATCGATATACTCAAGTCTCAAAGGGCATGTATTCCGTCCAATCTACACGTGGACACGATCTATGGTTTGACCTAAACTTTGGAGTACTTTGGAGTACTCCGGAGTAGATTATATATATGTTGTATATACTCCCTTTACAAGATACTATCTAAAGTCCTGCAATTAGAATAGAATTAATACAATCAATACAATCAATTTAATTTAATTTAATTTAATTAGTGTCGACGGTACCCAATGTCATCTCCAAGCCTGGTTGAAAATATTAGTTACTCCCAACATCCCGTACAATCATAACTCCCACTTAGGTATAGCCCTAGATCAGTAATAGGCAGGCAAAGTCTCCATGGCCCTGGGAGACGCTACCCGAATAGCGTAAGTCAAACGAAGGGATGGGTCCTAATCCCACCCTGGACTTTTTGCCATTCCGGAACATCTCCTCTTTAAAGGTTTAACACCAACCTCGAACTAGTTTAGGATCAGGTCTTGGCCACCTTAGATTCGCTCTCGTTATCGTCTTCCACGTTATACCCCTGCACATTCCACTACCCCTGCCACTTGCATTTTCACGGCCTAGTCGCTTTGGTGCATGCGTCCGACCTAATACCTAGCTAGGTAATACCTTGGTAGATTCATTCAGTCTATAATCCCCGATAGTGGTCATAGGCTTCATCTCAATACGATGTCCACCCGCGGAACGAGGCGTCAAAAATGTCCTCATTGATACATAGATCGACCTAGGGCCTGCTAGCTACCAAGGTGGACAACGGGAGGAAGTTCGGAAGGTGGGGATGTACTCTCCCTATGCTCCATATGACCTTTTTTTTTTTTGCCATTTCTTTTGCTTTGTTTGGATTCCCCCCTTTTCTTTTGTCTCCCTCTGCTTTCCATAAGAGAACAAAGCCCCCCTCCCTCCCCCGCTCAATTTCCATAGTAAGTAACTGGTTGGGCATCGGTCCAATAGGGTCCGGGATGGCTCCGTTTCCCGTCCCAGTTCTCTGGCAGCGGGCCAGGGGGTTATATCGGGGAAACTGTTATTTTCCTTTTTATTTTTTATTTTTCCCTTTTTATTTTTTACGTGAGAACCGGACCCCGACGGAACTATCTCTTCTCTTTTTCTTTTTTAAATCAGTAGATATCCGGTTTCGCGCTCTTCTCAATTTTCAAGAGAGCCCCAAACTGTACGGACTCTGTAGTGATGTATCTTGAAGCGTGTTAGCCACTTTGATATGCCAGAATATTCAACTCGGTAGCAAATTTTCAAAAGAGAGTTGGCACGTCCTAGGATTGTTTCATCCTCCTGTTCACTCGGAAGGCCCGGCCCAACGGCTCAATTGTCATGCTACTCCGGAAAGGGGAGCTTTTCGCGTGGCACGAATAGTGGCCGTGCATGGGATAGTGGCAGGGGTTGGTTGGTTAACGGCTCCTCCCGGCCGTTTTATGGGGAATGCTGAATTCGTGTTCAACGGTCCGCTATGGTCTCGTCCTGGTCGAGAAATTGATCGAGTGTTGTATGGAGTACTCCATTCGGAGTACGGAGTACCGGTGACAGGATTCGATATGCACCGGCCTTATATTGACGTGCATGACGACTCTTGTCATATCCCGTGAACCCGTGATATATCTGTCACCTGTTTGTGGGTGTGTGCATCCATCGTGCGTCGGGCTTACAGCAATCTACAGGGTCACTCTCAGCAGATTGGCCCTTGGGAAACTAACCGACTAACATTCAAAAATTACCCCTTGCAGCTTGGTCTTAACTCGGGGGATCTTCATTATTGATCTATAGCCTGGATATAGCTTTGGGGGGCTGTCTATCTCACAAAGTCGGATCACATGCGTATATCGTGCACGGTATGAATTTCAGCCAAAGTAAATGTTGATCTCAATGTGCCAAGCCCCTGAAAGATCCCCCATGGTATGCCTCTAAAGCGTGTTGGGATCAATAATGTGATCCTCCCGTTACGCTATTGATCGGATCAACGATGCCGGTGGGACTAGTTCAATGCGATATCATGTGAGCGTGTCAAAGCTCAATAATAGTCGTGATTATTTGTGGAGAAAGGGGAGGAAGCCATGTGGCCAAAATGCTTAAGCTATTAGTATGATATAGCTTTATTGCAACTTTATTGCTTTTCTAGTCTCGAGACTCATCAGCTGCACTTGTATCCCGGTAACATGCCGTAGTATTTTTTTGGAATAAGAATAAAATCATGTCATTTACATTTGGTCTACAATAGGGGCTATCATCCAGTCTATGGGGTCTACACAGCAGTGGACATTAATATGGCATAGTGTCAAATGGCATAAAAGTGGACATGGTTGAGTACCTATGTAAGTCACCATACAGAGTGGGTTTCAAATAGAAAAATCTATATGCGACGCGGCTGTGTAATTAGCGTAATGGGATTCCTTCGGGTTAAGATTATAGTTGCCTTGACCTTGAAGTTAATATTAATCCCCTTGTCAATATATGCTGCTAGTGGATGGCCTTCAGGTACTCGGTAGTGTCGTGTAATCTAACATGTAGCCATTTTTAGATTATAACTTTCAGAGCTCTACCTGTTCTCTTTGAAACAATGGATATGGCGGATAGACCTATCCTTTTATGCTCATTAAACACTTGAGGAGAATCTGCATATTGAGAGACGCTCCCGGGATTGGAATGACGCCGTGATGAAGAATTATTGGAAAGCTTCCAAGGTTGATATCTCAGTGTCACCTAACAAAGACCTCAGATATAGCTTAGCTTTTACTATCTTGAACATCAAAATGGCCCCTTTGCGCTATAAACATATTTACAAACCGAAAACAACATACAATCTCCCCGGCCCAGCAGAAATCACCCTCGCTGAATATCGTTCAAATAAGCCGTCACCCTCTCCACCAAAATCCGCCGCGGCTCCGCTTGATCACTATCACTTAGCGCATGCGATGCATTAGGAATAACCATACTCCTTGAATCCCAGATCTGCCGCCCACCCCCATCAGCAGCAATCTGCCATCTCTTCAAGAGGGCCTCCTTATTTACCCACGGTGGCACCGACTGATCCCTCCCAGAGTACAGCACTAGCATTTTCTGCTTCAGCAAGCCCCTCTTCTCAATCATCCCAAATGTCCCACGGAACTGCTCATCGCTCAAATCGGAACTAAACAAATCATCCTCAGAAGGATTCTCCGGACTATCCGGACTAACCAGACTCAAAAACCGCCGACTGCTAACCGGCGCAGAGGGCGGATACCCAATCCGCGACGTCACAGACAATGGCACGACCGTATCAACAAGATCGTGATCCTCATACATCGCCCGCCGCGCATCAGCAACAGCCTTATTGTATATCGCGCGCATCTTGGCCGGGCTATCACGCGCCGTGCCACTCTTCACAACCCACAATATGCCCTCGCGGTCAGAAACAGGCGCTTGCATAATTGCTCCATCGACCGGCACCCGCACAATTGGTTTGCAGTGGCGGTCGAAGACGGGGTGTGCCGGCCGTGGGTTGGGACAGTTGATATAGTGCATCACGTCTTGGCTGCCCGTTGAATGGCCCATGATGACCACCTTTCCGGCACCAAATTGTGACTCCTTGTATTTACGCACGTATGAGACACACTGCGATAGCTCGTCGATGTCTTTTCCCAGTCGTCCCATGCCCCAACCCCCGCCAGCGCAGGAGAGAATCAGCGAGAATACGCTCCATTGGGAGGGATCTAGTGCGCGAACTATGTCACTTAAATAATCGACTGAGCCGAGGCTGTCGCCTAGCCCGCCGACAAAAACGAGTGTGTGCGGCTTGGGTACATGGCTGCGGGTGTATTCGAACGCGACGAGGGTTTCGGTCTGTGAGGTGGCGTTAGCGGTGTGAATTCTTTGGCTGTGGGGGTGGGTGGCGTACGCAGTGGTGTAGCACGCCAGGCTGTCCCTGGGACAGAGAGGTGAGGAGCTTAATTTGCATTATGAGATATTGCTGCAGGTGGTGGTACCCAGGCGCAGATTGGTTTGACAATGTGCGTCAGATCAGATAAGAAAACATCAGATAAGGAGCTGCAACGGACTTATTCTGGTTACCGGTCTCGCGAAGACCGGTAAGATGAAAGTTAGGGCTTGGTATTATATTACTAATGTGTATCATTGATACCTAGGTATTATATTAACAGTTCCCCCTGACATTGTCTAACTTCCATACTTCGCTCAAGTTGATCATTGCTATATCTCTCGCAACCGTTGGATGCTTCTCTAAAAAAAAAAAGAAAGAAAAAAAGACCCCAATTGCACATCGTCTTCCTACCACCAAGAAATATGATAAAGTGATCGTGACGCGCGATGGAGTTGTAGAAGACGAGAATTGTAGCAAACTTACGGCCCAAATAAGGCGCTTATGCTGGCATCATTCAACTATAGAAGTTCTGTACTGACTCATTAGACAATAGTAGTATATAATCACTCAACTGGCATCACTGAAACGAAGCAGTCCAGTAAGGATGATCAGTGAACTAAAGTTATCAAAACTATCGCAAGGGGATATGTCTTGTCATACTCCCATACCTATGCACTTATTGTTGACGTGTGCAGTATTATGCTGCATATAAACAAGTCCTACTATCGAGTTCTAAACTCCCTGCTTGATTGAGAGTTAAATTTTTGATTATTCATGCGTTTCCTTTGAGTTGGTCACAGGATAGCCAGGTCGAACTGTTCTTGTGTGCACTACAGCCGTGGGTTCGCAGGCGGGGCTTCCTCTCCACTGCAAGACGAGACAGCATCGGATCAGGAGGAACCTGCCACTAAAGACAGCAAAGGTCAGTATGCGTAGATATCTTTCGGCATTTGGGTACACTTACAGGTAATTTGCAGTCCCACATAGAAATCTCCTTGCCTTCTCTAAATGACATGAGAGTTATTCCGAGACTAACAGTGCGGGTAGGTATATTGGTGTACTCACGATATGCGCTGCTGAAATATGTCTTTTCACCCGTCCCGGGCAAGGTCGATTCTCTTTCTCCGGGTTATCGAGAGCCGTGCAAAATGGGCAGCGGAAGGCACATGCAGGGATTTGCTTTAGAAGACCAACAAGAGTTAGTCATGTCTTGAAATAGTATTACGTCTCGGGGTAGATTGATTTGGGGCACTCACGATAATCACATGGTCAACCGGCCACTGGGTTGAGAAGTGGTCTCGGCATTCACACACCTTCTTGCGTTGGCTTCAGAATTTGCGCGTGAGTGAATATCAACTGAAGGGGTTAGGGCAGACTGATGCTTACACCCAGTAATTAGGCTGCACTTTCGGGTCGATTCTCATCCAGTAGCATCCCCGGAGCGGGCTGCCATCGCCAGCGATCCAGGGATTTGGAGGGGGCGGATCCTGAGGCTTGGAGGCCATCCTGCTTGAACCAAGACATTTCGTTAGCAACTCGGATTTAATGCACTCCTGGGGGAGTTTCAATGTTTGAGGTGCGACATTAAGGCATACCCCCAGTATCGGTCGAATCAATCGGGCAGATGGGATGATATACGTGCCTGGTGGTCTCGCAGTGTGGACTTGATGATTTAGCGATGCAGGGTTGGCTGTGCGATGGGTCATATGTTAACTGCATGAGAAGCAAGTGCAAGTAAACGAGATTGATGTTGACCTAAGAAAATATCTAGGCATCGAACTTGGCTGGGGATCTGGCAAGCCACTGCCTGAGATGAGACGGTTCAGACAACCTATGGCAGTCGCGAGGCAAGAGCGAAGTTTGACGCTGTTTTTAGACTGGTGACCAGAAACAATATCAATCCCATACTCCATAACGTTGAAATTGTCAGGATATTGGCTTATATTGCTCTGAAGACAGATAAAAGAATTGTCAAGAGCTCGTTGACTCTACCCGATGATTTACTAGGAGGGCTACACTGCCCTCTTGCTTCAGTGTTACCATATACCATATTTAGCGAGGTGTAGGGAACAATTTTGATGCTATTCGCGTGACAACTCCGTCATGTTGATTTTAGCGACTCTATCTCTCGGGGCACGCCTTGTGATCCACTATCGGGGATCGAGTTTTACTTCCGTATATGAAATAGATTGAACTTGTAGTTTGCCTATTCTGCTCTGTCTGTTGGCGTTATGTAAAATCTCTACAAGACGGTAATGATCAAATCATATAAATAGCGGCTATTCTTGTGGCCCTTCCGATGATCTAGTCGTTGAATACGCTCTAGGAGAGAGAAAGAGATAATACGAAGTCCGGACATATAGCACATGCTCTTAACAACAATTATCATTCGAAAACATTCATACATTAAACTATCAAAAGCTCATATCCTGTTCCTTCAGGTCGTTCAGGTGCTCTTTTATTAGCAGAAAGGCAACAGCTCCACTTGTGTGCCCCCGGTAAAATATTACGTCTCAACGTACTGGACATACTATGAATAGCCACTGTAGGTTCCTCACGTCATATGAAGTACATGTTAATTGTGACGTTAAGATACTTAATCCGATCCACACCAAGTAGTAGCTGAGTATCAAATGCATAATAACCTATTATTCTTCAGTCGAGAGGCTTCCTTAATCTATTATCTTGACCTATGTACCGTTGAAAAGTTAAAGCAGTTGGGAATCTAGAACAGGAAATAAGAAGACAATATCAAAGAATAAAACATGATATAGAATCAAATGCTCGATATCCCTTGATTTTCCGTTTTTGGTGTTCGCAATATCAAACCGGGCCGGGGGTGCAGGTGAAGTTTGATAGGAGATTATGCACCTGAGAAACCAATAAGAGACATTCTTTATTTTATTTTATTTCCTTTTTTTTGGATATCCCTCTCCAGTGAGCCTGTTACTTAATTTTATCACATGGGCATGATCATATAAAGTCTTCTTGACCCATCACCCCAACCAGGCAATTTAACCCCATCCCCTCATCACTTTAATTATCTCTTATTCATTCTTTGCAATGAACAGTCATGTTCAAGATGCCGAGCAAAACGAAGAGATTACCACGCGTGAAAATGAGATCAGACCTATCATCAAACGCACCATCGCCGGTGAAGACAATGCCAAAACACAGGCAGTCATTTCCGAGCTTGTTCAGACAAAACGAGGGCTGAAACAACGTCATATTCAAATGATTGCCTTGGCTGGAACGATCGGTACTGGCCTCTTCCTAGCGACCGGAAAATCCTTAGCAAGGGGTGGACCACTGAGCATGTTGCTCGCATATTGCATTGTAGGCATGCTTATCTGCTGCTTGGTCTTTTCCGTAGCTGAGCTCAGTGCGCTGGCGCCTCTTTCAGGCGGTATTATCCGACATGCAGAATGGTTCGTTGACCCTGCGCTGGCGTTTGCACAAGGTTGGAACAGTGTTTATGCAAATGCTATCCTGCTGCCGGCTGAGATGGTGGCTTGTGCTGTCATTATCGACTTTTGGTCTGACGTTAACCATGCGGTATGGATTAGCGCCCTTGGTGCGCTGCTGGTTATTAGCAACATGCTATTGGTCAGTATATATGGCGAGTTGGAGTTTGTTTTTGCAATGTTAAAGATTGCTCTGATTGTTGGTGTGAATATCATGGTGAGCAGGTCTCGCCGCGCAAAGGATCTTCTGGTTGGTTCCTGACTGCTTTTCATAGAGTATCTGCATTACCTCTGGCGCAGGTCCACAGGGTTATCCCATGGGGTTTCGATTTTGGCGAGACCCTGGACCCTTCGTGCAATTTCTTGGTATCGATGGCTCATGGGGACGGTTCCTTGGGTTTTGGCGCGTGCTGAGCAGTGCAGCTTATGCATTTTCCAATGTTGAGAACGTGTCAGTTGCAGCAGCTGAGACGCAAAATCCTCGCCATAACATCCCCAAAGCTGCCAAACGTGTGTTCTGGAGAATCTTGATATTTTATCTGATCACTATTTTCATGATGGGCCTTATTGTCCCCTCCAATGATAAAGGGCTGCTATCAAATTCCGGCGATGCTGGAGCGTCTCCATTTGCGATTGCTGCCACTAATGTCGGGATCAAAGTGGTACCTTCGATTATCAATGCCGTCGTTGTCACAAGTGCATGGAGCGCTGGTAACTCTGGTGAGTATGGATTTTCTGTCTGCCGCTGTACTTTTGCTAACCTGAAGATAGCAATGCTCGTTGGAACCAGGACGCTATATGGCCTTGCTCAGGAGGGGCATGCCCCAAAACTATTCACTCGCATCAATCGATTCCGGGGTTCCCTGGATATCAGTTGCTGCAGTCGGATCTTTTCTTGCCTTGGGATATATGACGCTGTCATCTGCAGCTTCCATTGTGTTTGATTGGCTCCAGCAACTGGTCTCAGCTGCCTCTTTGGTACATTGGATTAATATAGAGGTGATCTACTTGAGGTTCTTTTATGGCTGCAAGAAGCAAAACATCAGCCGTACTGAACTTCCTTGGAGTGGCCCCTTTCAACCTTACGCAGCATGGATCTCTCTGGTTTCTTTCAGTATCATTCTGCTTACTGGCGGATTCCACGTGTTTATTGAGGGCAACTGGAGCCCTCAAACTTTTGTATCGTCATACTTCAACATTCCACTTATATTTGTCTTGTATTTTGGGTACAAATTTTGGCGAAAGACCCGGCTTGTTCCACTGGAAGAAATTCCAATCCAGGAATTCATTAACATCGCTAATGAAAATCCAGAACCCATCCCATTTCCAGCTACTGGGTGGCGAAGATTAAATATCCTTTGGGCTTGATGTTTGGGGGTTTGAAATGGAGCTATGGGGGAAGCAAAAGACATGTTCTTATAGAATCTGGGCCAAATGGACCGATTATGTTTCGAGTGTCCATTTAAATTCTTCAAATATACCACGTTGTCCATCGGGGGAAGCCTCAACTACTAACCCTAGAGGGCAGACGGGTCTTACTCAATCCCAAATCGCTTAGCCACCTCTCGGAAGCCATCGGACTCAAGATCAACCCACATATCTACCCAACCCTCAGCCTTGGCCTCCGCAGCCTCCTCACTTGACATCTCTTCCTCCTGCTCACGCTCAACATAGATAGTCTGAAACCCACAGCTCTGGGCAGCCCTCAAATCCTGCAGATGCGCCGCAACTAGTGCGCACTGGCCTGGCTCCAGTCCAAACATCTTGGCAGCACCGTTATAAACCAGCGGGGAAGGCTTGTAAGCCTTAAAATTCTCTGCACTGACAAGATGCGTGAAAGGCAGTGATCCATGTCGCTGGAGATCCTGCAGTAAAGAGACATTCCCATTCGACAGGGTAGAAGTGGCGAACTGACGGTTCAACAGTTCAATACCCTGGACACTATCCGACCACGGGTTGAGCCGGTGCCAGGCGAAAGCGAGTTCCCACAGCTTCTCATCAGTGAACAGGCCATCCAGACCGCGCTGCTGCAGGAGGTCCTGAAGGGCGTTGTAATGGTGCTGATCCACTGACACAAACTCGTTGGATGGATCAAACGTATTGGTGAATACATTGTAAGAGTGCCGCCATTCTGCGACAAATACCAGCCAGTCATCCCGGGTCACGGCTAGAGCGCGGTCCTGCAAGTCGGCTGGGAGGTCCTTGTCGGGATGATTCACGGCACGTAGGGTGGCTGCGATCAGCTCCTCCGTTACGCATGTACGCCACGAAACTACTGTGCCGAAGGTATCAAAAAATAACATCTGGGGTGGGTTATCTGTCGACATTTTGCGTAGCTGGTGTTGTAGTTGGAGATGGGGGATGTTGATATACAGTTATTCCCCGCGCTTTCGAGATTATGTCGGTTTCCGAGCTCTGTCGTTGGATCTTCACAGAAGTTGAGATCCCAGCTAGATATATATATATATAGGTCAGAGTGAAATGAGGAATCCACATATGCTGGTTTCCAGGATACATGGAACCTCGGAATGCCGGTAAATATATGCTTAGTCAGTCCGGTTCGTGAGATCTAACAGGCTGATTGTTCTGGCGGGATGGTCTCATTGGATGGAAATAGAACAATCGGTTGCTTCGAAACTCTCGAAACAAGCACATGTTGTAACCTCGGAAGTAGTTGGAGTACTTATGGAGTACTTTTGGAGTACTTTCTGTGTTGGATCTTGAGGAATGTGAATGTGCATGACACAGAGAACATTCTGCCTGTTCTTGTTTTGCTTTTCTTTTTTTTCCCGCCTTCTCTCAATTCTTTCAATTCTCTCAACTCTCTCAACTTTCTCAACTTTCTCATGTCTCTCACACAGATGTCATAACCATTGTATTGTCTCTTGTCAATTTGACTTTAATTATTAGCCTTTCCCTACATACTTTGAACACACCTTCCGTGTAATATCGCCTGTGCCTCCACGCTAGACTGTCAGAAAAAAAGAAACCGAGCAGGGATGTAAGATATCAGCGAATATCGACCTGTCAACGGTCGAGTCAAAAGTACCCCATGTCCCCTGAGGTGGGGCAAATGGGTGGCAATGATTCGTGAAGATTCCCTTACTCTTGTCAATCCCCGTTAGTCCGATTTTCAATGGTAATTTGGGGGCTTGACAGAGTCTAGACATGACAGACTCTGTACGGAGTACGGACATCGCACATCGGATCCGATAATAAAAGTATTTATTGCTAATCGTTGATTGTCATTGTGCACTTGCATCCACATATGCAAGAGAAACGACTCGAATCCAGACCGAGGCCATAGAGGTGAGTGCGCGTACGATGTGCTCCATACTCCGTACCGGACTTCCCATAACAAATGGAAGTTTGGTTCTTCATTTCGGCCGATGTGGGTTCCTCGTTCCTCCAAGCTCTCGGTGGAGACCTTGGATGGGTCTGGTTTTACCCCTGATCCGCAATATCCGTGGATGATTTCACGGTTTGACGATTTGATTGTCTCCTTGGAAGCATCATAAAGAGGTGACGATCAAATACTATACATCATGCCACATAGATACACCCTGGGAATTCTGAAACCAGAAGACCAGATCACCTCTCATGCGAAATTGTTTACGGCGATCGTCACCTAAACAAGCTATGAGTTGGCCGCCAACATGGCCATTTAATTATACTCTCAAACACGCTAACCGTCGCTATTTTAGTGGCTTCGGAATTGACACTATTGGTCATTGAAAATACTTTTCTTCTTTTTATGATTTGCTTTCGACTTGGTCTGTTTCGTCCCAAAAGAAAAAGAAGAAGAATTAGGGGGGAGGATCTTCCTTCGAAAATGCCCTTGAGCTTCATCCAGACATGTCAGTGGAGTTTTATCACGAACTCCTACCCCGGCCAGTTTATTTATGAATCTTTAATATCCTCATTTTCCTTCTCCAGTGGACTTTCCGGCTTTTCGATACGGAGTATGGAGTCCTAGCTCTCCCGAGATTAGGGTTCCATTTTAATCTTCTTACCTTTCCGAGGTTGTTTATTTGGTTTCATAATCAGCTTCTCCATGGCCTTTGAGATATACAAGATCTCCCAAGTATAGACGCTGGTCTGTGATTATCTCGGACTTCCAACGTGTTTTATGCTGAAATGATTGGAGCTCATATTTTAGTGTCTGGCAGCTGCGGTGGAGTCTCGATCCTGGCTAATCGGGTGGATTCTTTTCTTTTCCCCATATGCCCCCTAACGAACACCCCTGGCACTTTTCCTTTTTACTTTTCTTCTTTTTTTTGGTTTTGGATGGCAAGAGAGCCAAGACTCTCCTCGCGTCCGGTGGTGATTCCGATATGTACAGGTGTGCGGCAAGGCTGATCTAAATCCCCCCCGAAGGTCTTTTCCAAGTTAATCTACGGTCTAAGCCCCCCCCCCCCCCCCCAACTCCTCTCGGATTGTTTTCGTAAATCTACGGGATCTTGAGAGATTCTCTAGTCGCGATCGGCCCTTCCTTCGGACTGATCTATTTTCCCTCCCGGGATCATATACCCGGGGTCGACATCTTACTCGTCCCTTAAGCTCTAAAAAAAAAACAAAAAAACGGTCAGACCTGATTGTCACTGTAAGTAGACTGAGGGTGTCTTTCTCCCCCGTGCATTTCATATGCGTTGTAACTGTGGCTGACCTCTTCGTTCCACCTAAGTTCCACAATCTCCTTGAATTCCCCCTCCATCCCGCGTTGGATCCTGCGTTCGACTAGTCGATTGCACCCAGTGAAACCTGTCTCTGGAGGCAATTGGCGGCTTCGAAACAGTTAATAGTCGGATGGTTGAACTACGGTAGTCTTTTGATGGGATCCAGTGCGTGACGTGCTCTGGCTAGCCCAAGGAGCAGAGCCCCAATGATTTGAGGCTTTTCATCTGGCACATGCGCAGAGATGGCCGATTTACAATCCCCGGCCTCCATGGCCCCGTCCCCGGCACCATCTTCTACATCCAGAGCTCACGCTCCATCCAAAGGATCACGACCAAGACCGTCTTTGCGCCGGCGAGATTCTTCCCCGCCACCTTCCTCTCCACCTGGCCTCCCAACCCCCGCATTCTCACCCGACGGACAAACAGACGATGATGATATCGATATCACCGAGGACACCTTATCACCTTTCGACCCGCGGAGGATCACACCTACTCTCCATGCATCTCTCGTTTCGGAGATTCTCTCGCTCCGACGGGAGATAGAGAACAAAACCAAGGCAATCGATGGACTAGAAGAGAGCTTGGATGAATCAAGGACGGAAAATGAAACATTGACCGCGAATCTGTCCCAGGCGACCTGGGAAGGGCGCTCATTGAAACACCAAATCCAACTACTGGAAGGTGGCACGTCATCTGCGATGACCGAGCTAGCTCGGGAGCGCGATGAAGCGGTCGAGAACATCGGTGACGTTCGTAAAAAGCTCGATCAAGCACAGAAGAAAGCTCGAAGCCGGGAGGAGGAAATCGAACGAACCCAATTACTCTGGAATCGCGATCAAGAGTCTTGGGCGGATGAACGCCGAACCCTGGAACGCAAGGTTCACGTAGTGGAGGGCCGCTTGAAGACCGTTTTGAACGAGGTCGCAGCCACCCAGGAAGTGGCGACTATCCACACGCATTCGCCGTCGAGTGAGAATGGTGACCTTGTTCATGACAAGAATAAAGAAAGCGACTCGGCCAGCCTGGCGTCTAGTAGCCTAGGCCGCCGACGCACGAGCGTGACCAGCGTGAGCTCGGAAGAAGCTGAGGAGGCCGTCATATTCCATAGCATGCGGTACTCGGTTATGAGTATTGCGCCTGGAGCCAAGAATGGTTCTGGTCTGAACCTGGCAGAAGAACTCGACTTTGATGAAGAGGACGAGTTTGTTCCATCTGATGATGACCTCCCCGCCTCTCCGGAGGCGCTCCCCGAAGAACGCCCAATGGATCGCCCAATGTCAGTTCACTCACAGGGGTCGCATAGTATTTCGGACAAGGCCAGGAAGATTCTGGGTCTGTCCCTTCAAAGCTCGGACTTACACTCACCCACTGCCATGGATTTCCGTGCCCGGGACCTCGGGCTTGCTAGCCCCGTGAAACTGGGCCCGGCAGTCGAATACTGCGATATCGGCATCCAGTACTCACCTCCACCGTCGCCTACGATAGAAGCTAAGGTTGTATACGATATTGTTCCTGGGCCGGTGGAAGCGGCTTCAGAGCCTGAGAAAGAAGACGATAAGAATGCGAACATGTCTGGAACGAAGGACAGTGCCACGCCTCCAGTGGTACAGCAGATGGTTTCTAGTTCTTGTCAGACCGTGCATGAACTCCCAAGTCCTCCGTGGACGCCCAATGTGGCTGAGTCGTCTCAACCTGTTGAATTCACCCCGGAGCCGGTGCAAATGACATCGGCGTCCACCCAGACTGATGTTGTTCCGGAAACAAATGTTGTTCAAAGCGGGAATCGTGCCAGCTTATCCCCGAATGATGTCCCATCGAAAATGGACATTCCAATGATCGCTATCCACCCACCAGGCTCGGAGCCATCCTCACCTCGGAACAGCGTCGTTCTACCACCGCAAACCAAAAACATTGCTTGCCAGGCCAATTTCCGAGCAATTGCTGATTGTCGATCCATTGCCGTCCAAACCGAGGAGATCCTTATCGATCAACCCCCTGTCAAACCTCCCGCTAGTCTTCTTCCATCTGCTATTCAAGATGAAGATGCACTACCTCGCCCTAAACCACAGGAGCCTAGCCTCGAGTCTTACACTGTGCCCCCGCTTCCGCCGCGGTCCGAAAAACGAAAACTGAGACGACCGGTAACAGATCACCCGGCAGATGGCCCCGTGAAGCCTCCTAGAGCATCTGATTCAGATCATGTGCAGGCCTATCCCGGTAACAACGACAATGGTCCGCTCTCGGACGATGCTCTATCCAATATTCGACGACCTTTACGGTCTAGCAGCCTCTTTGCCGGGTTTGAACACAACAGCGACGATGAAGGCCCTCATAATGAACGTGATGTCTTCACTGACGATGAGCTCCTCAGCCGCCCATTTACTGCATACACTGTCAGCCGTGGCAAGCTCATCACTACGAAATCAGGACCCAGCTTGGACGACATGCCTCTCCCCGAAATAGACGAACAACTGTCTTCCCCGGAGTCAAGACCACCCGACATTGGCCGTTCTCGGGCTCCCCAGCGGTCTAGCACGGCGTCCTCGAGTATTCGCCAGTCCGGAATGCGCAAAATGGCCATGATCTCCAGCGGAACCGCCGCGCACCAGAAGCCCCGTGCCCGCAGTCCCAGCGAGCCAAGCCTCGATAGCGGCAGTGCAGGCTCAAGCATTGCACCACCATTCCCCGTGCCCATCCGTTTAAGCTCACGCAACCTCCCACTCAACGGAAGCGACGGACCCCCCAGTCCTACTCGCTCAGCCGGCAGACAGTTCTCAGACCGCGGTCACCAAACCGTCATCCGGCGCCCAAGTCTCCGCCGAGTGCGATCCGCTGCAGCAACGTCACAGTCGGATATTACCGAGAGACCAGAAACTCTCTCTTCGCCCTCACGATCGATCTCAACATTTTCTCCAGAGAGCCCCACATACCGACCATACCGACCACCACTACCACCACTACCACCACCACCGCCACCACCGCCACCACCGATGCCGTGCGATGATATCACAGCACCTCGTGAGCGGCACGGGCCGCCGAAACGCGCCCCCTCGCACCGCGCGACTCCATCTCAAACCTGGAACCGTGAACAGCGTGAAAGAAAGGATTCCACCGGCGGTGTGCAACCGACTAGTGTCGTGGATGCCATTGCTCAGACCATGGTTGGCGAGTGGATGTTTAAATACGTCCGTCGACGTAAATCATTCGGTATGGGCGAGTCCAAGGAGAATTGGGAGGGCAAGAACCCCGACGATGTGTCGGCGAATATTACGAACAGTGGTGTGCGCCATAAGCGATGGGTTTGGCTCGCCCCGTACGAAGGCTCCATCATGTGGAGTAGTAAACAGCCTACGAGTGGGCCTGCCTTGCTCGGCAAAAGTGGCCGGAAGTGTAAGTCTTTTAAGGTACTCACCTGAGTTGGTTGGAGTGACAGCTAACATAGTATCTCTCCTCATAATAGTCACCATCCAATCCGTCCTGGACGTCAAAGATGACAACCCCATCCCCAAAGGCGCCGGCTCTTCGGCGCCATTCAATCGCTCCATCCTGGTTTTGACACCACAGCGCGCTCTGAAATTCACAGCGCTAACCATCGAACGCCACTACGTCTGGCTAACGGCCCTCTCCTTCCTCAGTCATTCCTCAATGGGCCTCCAAGAGCTAGCAGCCCTACCTCCAGTCCCACAAGAAGAATCCCCAAACCTACCTCACACCTCCCTCCGCCGAAACCCCATCCGCGACTCCATCCGCGTCGCAAAGGGACGTCCCCGCCCAATGCCAAAGGGCAAACGCTCCTTCAACAGTGCCGGCGCTCCAGCCCCAGTCCCCGAAGTCCCAGGCGGCAGCATCGACTTAGCAGCCGACGCACCACACGTGCCCCGCTTCTCAACCCACAACCGCCAACGCAGTAACACCGCACCCCGCCCTGCCCTCCACGCTCTCCGCAGCTTCTCCAGCGCCGGCACTATGCCGTCTTCACACAGCGGTACTACTGCTGGCTCCTCGGAGCTCCACTTCCCCGTCACGCAACCCCCTCCCCTATCCCCAGGAGTCGGCAGCCGCCGCAGCAGTATCAGTCGACGCACTTCCGAGGCGAGTGGCCGTGCTTCTAGTGTGGCGGGCAGCAACATATTCGATATAGGCACTGTTCGTATGGAGGCTTTCATCGATCACCATGCAGAACAGATGAATCGCACCCGTGCGCCTCCACGTCAACGCCATACCCGCAAGACTTCCAGTCAGTGGAGTGAGAGGCGGTATGAGTTTGACACGCCTTCGGTTCAAGGGAGCGAGTTCTCATACCGTCCTGATGATCCGTGGCGGGAATTCTAATTCGAGAGTGGATGAGTTTCGTTTTACCCTCTTTTCTTATACCTATTCTTTCTTTCTTTCTTTCTTTCTTGCCTTGTCTTTTCTTTGAAAAAAAAAAACATACCGTTTTGGCGCAGGTTCATCGCCACATCTCTCCGTGGCTTGTCTACGTACAATGTCATGGGACATGTTCATCTTCTATTTTGTCACTGTCACCTATTCATTTTTATTCTCTGCTTTTACCCACCTCACACATTTATTACCTGTCATTTACCATTTGTCGCTTTCGAGTTGATACCACTTTGATTTGGATACTATTTCTCGTGCAGCGGGAGGGGGAGAAGGGCGTTTCTTTCTTTATTTCTTTTTCTTTCTTTCTTTTTTTTTTTTTTTGACATCGCAACTATCAGCAGATCCTGGATATATGTATTGATCTTTTGTGTTTATATGTCTGAACATAATGTATAAGTTTGCTCATGAGCCAAGAATGAAGCTTTCTGTGTCTCCAATCTCATATATTCCATATTCTCCGTTCTATTCATTCCCAGATAGTAAGATGGTGTTCACAAGCAAAAGAATCAAACTGGAATCGCGGGTATAACGTTCGCTAACGGAGTAAATACAACATCATGACGTTTCTCTGATGTGCAGTTGACCGGGGGTTGCCCGTCGTGGGCTGATTTCCCCCAAAACCAAAACACTCACTATTTCCTTCATTTTTCAATAGATGATTCACAGCTTCGCGGCATCCTTGACTTCGCCGATCTTCAGCTTGGGTGAGTATTTCTTCAGCACGCCTTCGTTGTGGTACTAAACGGTATTAGTTAGATACTTCTGGTTTTCAATAGCCGACTCGGCCGATAGCCGATCATAACAAGAATAACATCTCTTTCTTTTGAAAGAGGAAAAAGGGAGGGAATACATACCTTCCAGAACTGCTTCGAGGCATCTTTGCCCGCTACACGCTTGAGAATCTTTGCGCCGCCGGGGTGCTCGTCGACAAAGTTGGTTACATCGTAGACGTTGCTATCGATGATGATGTAAAGGCCCGCATCGGCGGTCTTGTGGGAGGCCACTTCGGCAGGGGTGAATGTTTTAGACATTTTTAAGGTAAATTGAGAAGTTGAAAGGGGGAAGATGGGGAAATGAAAACCAAGAAAAACAAGGGAACCAAGAGATAGAAAAAGGAAAATCCGTCGGAACTTGACGTGACGTAGAAAACGGAGAAAGTCTGGGGGAAAGCGGAGAAACCGAGGTTCGACGGATTTGCCGCGGTTTGAATTATCCAGGCGGTGATTGGTGGAGATGTCGGTGCCTGGGGTGTCTATTTTTTTTATATACATCTGAGGCTATTCAAACAATATCCTATGTTTTCATGTTTCATATTTATTTTAATCTGTACATCCGAGTAGATCCCCCTCTACTCCCGACTCTATTCCCGGCTCTTCTCCCCAGCAGCCCCCTGCCCCTTACTCACCTTGCGATCCAACCCAAGACTCTCCAGGTCCTTCTTCTTATAGTAATGTGGCGCAACCTCAACCAGCCATTCTGGCTGCAGCGGCATATTACTCCGCATGTACTCCTTACTGGTAAGCACCAACTCAAAGTAGATGACCCAGCGAGGGTTAACCTCCATAAGCGTACTAGACGGATGCAAGTATACCGACTGGCCATTCTTGATAGTGCGGTAACTGTCACCGCCACGCTGGAGTCGCGCCGCATTGGGGAAGAACCCAGCCGTGATGGCTTTCTGGATTGGCTGAATATTCGTTGATCCACAGGTACTGACGGCGACCTCGACACGGTCACACAGTTTGGCGAGCTGGTCGCGCACATCGCGTGCCCGCGTCAGACTGCGCTGCTGCAGGAAGTTCTCCTTCGCCCAGATCGTGCTGAAGTCCGAGTCGACCCATTGGTTCCAGACGTTTAGGAGCGTCAGGTGGTCGCCGCCGTCTTTGATGGTGAACCGGTTGCGCGCACTGTCCGCGTGGATCTTCTTGTCCTTGGGTCGGAAGAAGAGTGCGCTGCCTTCGCCGAGCATCGACACGATCGACAACACTTCTTCTACACATCCATATTTGTCGGCCGCGAGGATCGCCTTGGCGAGCATCGGGTCCGTTGGGAACTCGGCCATCTGTCGGCCGACTTTGGTCAGCTCGCCCCGGTCGTTGAGCGCTCCCAGCGCGTACAGCTGTTCCAGAGCACGGATGATGGTCTCCGCCGGCGGTGGGTCCATGAAGTCAAAGTCGAGGAGTTGGTCGATGCCCAGCGACTTCAGCATCAGAATCACTCCGTTCAAGTTGGTACGTTGAATCTCCGGAGTGGTGTTATCTTCCAGCTCGTTGTAGTACGCCCACTTGGTATACAGGCGGAAACATTTGCCTGGGCCAACACGCCCGGCGCGGCCGGCTCGCTGGTTGGCTGAGGCACGCGAACACGGCGTCACGACCAAGCTCTCCATTCCGCTGCGTGGGTTGAAAACGTTCTCCTTGACGAATCCGGGATCAATCACGTAGACAATACCATCGATGGTCAAACTAGTCTCGGCGATATTGGTAGCAAGTACCACTTTTCGTGCCTTGGGCGGAGTAGGCTCGAAAATCTTCGTCTGCAGTTCGGATGGCAGGTTGGCGTAGATAGGAGCAATAATCATCTCCGGAATCTTGCTCCCAAGTTTTCGAGCCGTTTCCTGTAAACTTTGCTCGGCGGCCTCAATCTCTTCTTGTCCAGTCAAGAAGACCAAGATATCTCCCGGACCTTGCGTGACGTGGATCTGGAAGACCGTTGTGATGGCTGCGGCGAGGTAGTTGGCTTCAGGCTGTGAAGTGTAGTGCACGTCGACGGGGTAGCGGCGACCAGGAATATTGAAAATAGGAGCATCGTCGAAATAACTCTGGAACTTCTGTGCATCCATCGTCGCCGAGGAAATGAGCAGCTTCAAATCGGGTCGTGCCTTGGCAATATCCTTAAGCAGACCACAGGCAATATCTGTTGGCACCGTCCGTTCGTGCGCCTCGTCAATCATCAAGGCCGCGTACTGGCTGAGGTCCGGTTCTGTCAATAGTTCTCGCAGCAACATTCCATCGGTCATATACTTGAGGATGGTCTTGTCGCTGGTGTTGTCCTCAAATCGGATGGCATAACCAACTTCATTTCCGATCTTGGTGCCCATTTCATCCGCCACCCGAGCAGCAACACTCATGGCAGCCACTCGTCGCGGTTGCGTACAACCAATCTTGAGGCCATCCTTGGTATAACCGGCCTCGTGGAGGTATTGTGGGAGCTGTGTGGTTTTTCCGGAACCGGTTTCACCAACGATAATCAAAACTTGATGATTTGCCACAGCCTCGATGATCTGATCACGGAATTGATAGATAGGCAAACTCTTGCGGGTCTCCTCCATCGAAAGGGCTTTCTTCTCCGCTGCATCGACCTGCTCCTTGAACCGCAGCTGTTCCTTCGTCAGTGGCTTTTGCGTGCCCTCCAGTTTGGCGTCCATGACAAAGTTGATCTGCTGCGAATCGTCGAAGACATACTCATAGTCTCCCTCATCAACGAACTCAGCCTTTTTGATCTGTGCCTTGGCCTTGGCCGCCTGCTCCAGCTCCCATTCCTCGTGCTCTGTGACGAATCGCTCCTGGCCTAGCTCGTCGCGCTCGACGTACCGCTTGTACAAAGCCTCTTCCTTCTTCTTCCGGTCGATCTTTCCTTTCTCTGTAATATAATCAGATGGCATCTGATACCCATCGCGGTGATCGTCGATCCGAAGCCGTTCTTCGGCGAGACGAAGGACCTCTCGGTTGCGCGCAAACTCCTCCTTCTCCTTACGAGACAGATTCGGGTTCTCACGCAATTCCTGGGTCTCCTCTACAACCTGTCGTCGCAGCAGTGCTAACCGCTCTGTCTCGCGCTTCTTCAAGTATTCCTGTCGAGACCTTTCTCGCAGATCGGGCATCATCGAAGCCCGTGCGCTGGCATCATCGCCCAGCGCACGCCGCCGTGCAGCCTCGCCGTCGCGCGTCCGATCCTCAACGATTTTTTTCGACTTGCTGCTTTCCTTATTGGCCAGTCGTTTGGCAAACTCGTCTCGTTCACGGAGATCTCGTTGGCGGTCGATCTCTTGCTTAGTTTTAGGGTCGATATCGATATCGTCGGCCGGTGGGGCGGGAGCGGGAGACGCGGAACCATCGTCGAGTCGTGTGCGCTTGGAGGGGGATTCTTCGAATTCCCCTGGGTACATCTCGTCTTCGAAGATCTCTTCGTCGCCCCATCGATCGTCGAAGTCCTGGGAGCCCTTCTTGCGAAGCTTTCTCGTCCGTGGCCGGTCGCGGCTCTCTGCGTCGCGGCTTCGGTCTCGCTTTCGGCTGTCGTCCTTTTCTCCGCGGCTCCGAGGCTCGGAGTCTCGCTTGCTGCTGCTATTGTCCTTGTCGCTGTCTCTGTCCCGTCTCCTCCGTCGCTCTCGATCTGCTTCGACATTGGTGGGTCCTAGCAGCTCTGACTCGTCTTCGCCCATGTCCACCAGGCGGTATTTCTTTTTCGTAGATTCCTTGCTCGTCGCGGGTTTGGGGGCAGACGCGCTGGGCTGTGCGCCCTTGCCCATGCGGGCATGGAGCTCCCGAGCAAAGGCACCAATTTCAGCTGAGCTAGTGTCTATGCCGTCCAGGAAGGACACGAGGGTATCTTGAAGGGAAGAGGTCGACTTGGCTGAGCTGGCAGTCGCGAGCACGAAATCGATGATGGTGGGTTCTGACGCGCCTGTTAGGCGTAGGAGATTGTCCGACACGAACTCTTTATTGTCCATGGTGCGTGATATGGACGGTGATTATGGGAGAAATTCAAAGGTTGATGTGTAAGGGGGAGCTTGTTCGGGAGAGGTAAGGTGTAGTTATTGTCGGGGTCTTAGGGGCAGCGCATGTTGTAACAAATGTGTAATAAACCAAGTTTCGACAGGAAAGGGGACAAGTAGAACAGGTAGAACAGGTAAAAGGGTATGAGTTAAGGTTTTCAAGATTGAAAGGATAGAAGAGTTGGAAGAGAAGGAGAAGTTTGCGAAATGCCAAGAAATCTTGTGGCAATTGAAATATATTTTGACTTCCTCTCTCCGAATATACATAACTATACATACATACATATATATATATAGTTATATATATATAGTTATATATATATTGCAACATCCGGTCAAGGATATTTAAAAAAAGACATAAAACAGAAATCCCCAATGCTATCTTGAAATATAACGTCCTGAATATTATTTGGAGCCCAAGAGATCAGATATCTCAAGCCCCACCATCAACGGCAAACGCTGGGAGGTAGAATAAATACTTACACATTTACTTTGAATAAGATCTACATTCGAAGCAGTTCGTAGGATACCATTTCAATTAGTAATTCCACAATTGCTACACATGGAACCCAGGTATTCAAACCAAATTAGCAGAGAAGATCACGCTCAAAGAAAATGGATAGGGTCATCACTGCCTAGAGGGCATACATTCATCATCAAGGCAAAAAAAAGAAGAGAAAGAAAAGAAAACCGCAGAAAGACAAGCAAAAAGATAGCAATGATGTTTCTAAGCCAACCAGGCATGCTGTTCGACCAGAGACCCCTAGAAAGAAGAATCGATGAGCAATTGATTCCAAGGAGATAATATGTTGGAACGAATACAGCAGATTCCTAGAGTGGCCTTGTCCATTTCCAGAAGCAAGCACCCTGCGAGGTTGGTACATTCTGGCATCTCGTATCGCTAGGTGTTGAATCGTACAAAAGAAAAAAAAAAAAAAAAAAAAAGATCCGTGAAAAAAAGGGTGAAGAGCCCTTTGCAAACTCCAGTGGTATCCGTGAACTGCTCAAGGTAACGCCCAGATCCAAACCGGATGGATCGAAAACGCCCCCAAAGCCCAGCCCGCAACAGAAAACCCCAGCCTCAACCGTTGAAGCATGGGGTGGAGGAATAATGTCGTAACGTGAAAACATGGCATCAAAGATGGGACAAAAAAGAGAAATGCTTCCAGGTTGAACGCCGGGAAGAGGTGACAAAGGAAAAAGGAAGGGCAGAGAAAAAAAAAGAAAAACACACACAACACCCTCCGTATGCACAATAGTAAAAGGGATATTAAATTACACGTCGATCATTTCGGCATCTTCGGCCAGGATCTCGTCAGCGGGGCCCCAGTTACCCTCGAAGACGGTGGCGCCAGCGCGGCGTCGTTGGTTAATAAATTGCACCCCATAAGTTTCCAGGATCTGGTCGGCCGTGGGACGGTTCTGAGGTTCGGGGGAGATCATCCATCGAACAATGCCGTCCAATGCCTGTGGATGGTTGGCATCGACCATGAAGTTGGGTGGATCAATCAGCTCCCCGCTGCGTGCGAGTCGCTGTGGTTTGGGGTTGCTCAGCTGACGACTTGTCAGGAAGTTATCGTCGAAGTCGTTGTCCCCTAGATCGGAGGTACACAGATCCTCAAAAGACGACCCTTCGGAGATAGGGTTTCCAGTGGCATCGCGGAAGATGCTGGTCTCCGAGCTCCAGGTAAGGCTGGGCACATCGCTCATATCGCCGTTGCGGAGCTTCTGCCAAGATACTCCATTGTCAGGAAGTTCCACATTGCCAGCGATCTCAAAAATGATGAGACCAAGTGAGAAAATATCGGCGGGCTTGTCAAATCGGCCCATAAGAATCTCCGGTCCAATGTATTCGCGGTCGCCTTCGCCCTCAATACCATCCTCTGCAGGCCAGCGTGTCGCCATGCCAAAGTCACCAATCTTCAAAGTACCCTCAAAGGTGACCAGAATATTAGCAGGCTTCAGGTCGAGGTGGATGAATCCCTCGTCATGGATCTGCTTCAGTCCCAGAGACATTTCGAGCAAAATCTTCCAGATACGGAAGTCATCAAGTCGGGCCTTAAGTCCGGCTTGCGCCAAGAAACCATCCAGGCTACCCTCTTCGCAGAACTCCGTTTGAATGTACAGGTGGCCATTGTTCTCCCAGCTGTCCATAAAGGAAATAACATGGTCACAGTTGGTCAAAGCCTTGAGAACCTCGACTTCGCGAATACGGCGCTCGCGATCCTTCAACCCCAGATAGGGCTGCTTACTCTTCTTGACTGCCCACACCTGATGAGGGAGGGAAGTCGGCGACCTTGGTTCGCTTGATGGAAGAGAGAAGACAGATGGGAAGGACGCGTCGTGAGGTTGCGCGACACGGAAAACCTGGGAGAACTCGCCAGTTCCAATAAGCTCCACGCTGTCAAAGCGGGATGTCAGAGTGGGGTCAACGTCTGGAACATAGTAGCCGCTCATTTGGAGACTGGGCCGTCTGAAAGACGACCAAGAGTCTCGCGGACCAGTTGGAGTGGCTGGAAGATCATGCTCCTGCACATGCTGATGATCACTTGGCACGGAGATCGATAAGCCACTTGGGTCGGGAGGGAAATATTGGTCGCGGGGAGTGTGAGGCGATGCCTGCAGAAACCTCTCGTGTAGCGGACTCGCTGTGTCGGATAGTCGCTCCAGAGAGGGGATTTGAGAAGTTGCGGGAGGGTAGGTGCGAGAGGGGAGGAAGGGCTGTTTGGTCGGTGTGGGAGGGAAGTCGTCGTTTAGAGGCTGGCTGTCATGTCGGGAGGAGGGCGATTGGGCGAGGATCAGTTCATCACCATCAATACTAGCGAAACTTCCACGCCGGGAGGCCTCGGGACGATTGAAGTTGCTACCGAAGATTCCCACGCCCCGGGCGAAGGGACTTGGCTTGGGACGCGAGGTAGTAGGTGGGTTGAATGGAGAGGCAGAAACAGCATCTGATTGATGAACCAAACGTGACTTATCAAACAGTCGGTCCGTGGGATTTGGCCCAGCGGTGAAAAGATTGACAGGCCGCTTGCAGGGTGTATCGGGCATGCTCTTGTTAAATCCGGGATTCTCTTCCGCGTTGCGGTTTTTCTTGGAGATAAGTCCAGTGGACATGAATGCCGCGGGAAGAGGCTTCACTAGCCTGAAATTATCCGGGGTAGCAAACGTCTCTGCATCTTCTCGTGTGATCCGACTCACGGGAGCAGGACGAGTAGCCCCGGCGGGGAGAGATTTGGAGAAGTTGAACATTGTTCGTCGGCCCTCGGGCTTGTGAACTGGTTCATGGGTGGGCGAGTCCTCAATACTAGACCCAGAAGAGGATTGGGTGATAGTCCGCGAGAGAGGATGAGCAGTGGGCCGAGGAGGTTGAGTGGTGTTGGCGGGAGGGTTGGCGGGGGAGTTGGAGAAAAGCGGGCTGGCTGGCGGCCGAGGAGAGAAAATGTTTTCGCTGCCTGGTTGGAATAGGCTGCTATCAAACGACATTCGTGGCCTAACTGACAATGGCGTCTCGGGTGGTGATGCATCGGTTGAATCATCCATAGCCCTCGGTCGCCCGAAGAGAGGTCGATCGCCGCGCTGCTGAAGGGTCGAGCGTCGCAGAGAAGACGAGCGCTTAGGAATGGTCGCAAATGGACTGTGGGGTTGGACAGGCGTAGGGAAAGAGGGAATTTCGTTGCGTGTTGGAGATCCCTCCGGGGTCGTGTTCTCGACTTCGTTGTCGAAAATGCTGAATTCGGCTGCGAAAGTGGGAGTGTGCACGCTGCGTCGCTTTGCAGAAGGGCTGCCTCGCGATGCTTGGTCCAAGTTCATAATCCCGTCGCTGCGCTTCAAGGGACTGCCAGTCGCAAAGCTACCAAAGGTCCCACTACGTCGTTTCTCAATTCGCGACAACGTTGAGCGCGGCGCAAAAGTGGATTCACCCAGAGGGGCAGAAGGAGTGTTAATAAAACAAGGACTGTCTGGGGTGGTACTTTGACCTGGCGCGACGAGGTCGTCGAGAGTCAAATCATTTTCTTCGCCAGAGGGCAAAGAGACGGGTTGGGTTGGAGTCGCGTTGCCACTGTCAGTCGAAACACTCAAAACGCGTTTGGCCGGACTGCGGGGTGATGTACGTCGACGCATGGCCGGCCTACTGATTTTCGCGCTGGGAGGGTAAGGGACAGCGAGAGGCGACTGATGAGATTGATGGGATGGGAAGAGAACAAAATTGTTCTGTGAGGCGCGTCGTGATGGCGACAAGGAAGAAGAGATGTAAGCAGATTTGGAGGGGGAATGAGTACGCGGGTTGAGGAAGAAGTTTGAACTCTTGGAGGGGGAGCGCGAAAGTGAGCGGCGCAGTTGACGGATAGCGGAGCTGGCGTCAACGTGATGGATCCCCGAGTGTGATGGCAGATGAAGTGTGCCACCGGAGTCCCGGTGCGGCGAAAACGTTGCAACCATGATCGGGGGAATGTGTCAACGTGCCGCACAACAAGTGCAGAATGGAGAGCGCGTCACAACTAAATGCGCTCTAGATATCTTAAATGTAGATATCCTGGAAGAGAATCGAGAATCGAGAGTCGGGAGTCGAGAGATTTAGAGAGAGCTTGCCCACAGTTCCAAGGTTGACGCGTTCAAATCAACAACGCGTCCAGAAAGGGAAAGAGAGGAAGCCAAGAATATTCTCAGAGATATTCCAGGATATGATATCCGAAGGCACGGGATTGGAATGTTTCCAAGAGCAGGTACGAGTGGCAAGTTCAATCAAACTTGAGTCATACCACTTCCATTGCGGATTCCGAGGAATTCAATGTCTCCCATGCGCCCTAGGAACAAACCTAACGCGTGTTCGCGATGTTTCACTTTGCGTTTGATACCCAAGGATAACCAGATCAAGATGCGCGATAGGTGTGGAATGGTTCAGTTTGGATTACAGTGTAAAAAAAAAGTTGAAGGGCGTGTGTCGGAATCTTTTTTTTTTGTTCCAACGAAAAAAAAGGTTGCAAGGGGTGAGTCCCCCAATACAAAAGGTGAGGTCAGCCCACGAGGGCGAAAGGGCGGAATCGAGGAGGGGTTGGGTATTGGTATGTGACAGTGTCCAAAGACCGGGGGGAACCGAGAGTTGGATTTGAAACCACTTGGGAGATGGGGATATTAAGAATGTTTATAAAGATTTTGGTTCAATGATCCAAAGTTCCTGTGTTCGTGTTCAAAGGGTATAGAGAAATAAAGTCCAAAGCGATTAACGCGCAGTCGCGTTGTTGATTGTTGGATGCCCGATGTGGATTAGGGTGACGCGTGATTGACTTAGGTAAGCAAACAATAAATCCCAACTACAACATACAACATACATTTTGGTGTATTTTGGTATATTTTAATAAATTTAATATAGTCTATTATCTTGTAAGTGTTTATAAATAAGATCGAATTAAATAATTCACCTACCAAACCAAAAATAAAATAAAATAAAATAAAATAAATAAAACCCATGTACTCTACTCCGTATGTACTCTGCCCATGTAGGCGCGCGTCGCACGGTCCCTGTACTCCAATAAACAAAGGGAGGGGTATTCCTCCCCGTCTCTCTCGGCCAATTGTATACCTTTGCATACCTTTGCATACCTTTGTACAACATATACCTTTATATACCTTAGTTTTTCTTTTCTTTTTCTGATCAAGGTAGACATATTATTATTGTCACATATTATATTATTAATTCTCTGTTTACGTTCTTATAGTCTACAAGATAACGCGAAAATAGAAAAGAAAAAAAATAAGCCTAGTGTCAACTGATAGGCCACGCGAAATCCCCCTTGCTTAAGCGCCATCAGTCTACTCTCACTGCCTATTAAAGTCCACGTCTGATTCATCACGTCTATTCTCGGGGGAATGTGACAAAAAACAAAAAAGCCTACTGGGTTGAGTCCGATTGGTGCCAAAGGGGGATAAAAAAAAAAAAAAAAACTTAGTTGATAGTGTACCCTATAACCCATATAAGCCCTACTTTGTATAAGAGATTCTATGAAGTACTATAAAGTACGACATACTAACTATACAAACGATACACATACAACATAATGCCCTTATCATAAACCCTGCTCCAAAAGATAGATCCCCGGGCCCGTCCCGTCCGTGGGTCCCGCCGTCACTCGTCAAATCAGATGGCTTTAGATATAAATTCGATTGGGAGAAAAAGAAAACTATACACGTCCAACGCCTCATATGCATGAGTATGTGAGCCATAAAAATAGCAGGAAATAGCAAGAAATAGCAGAAAATAGAAAGCAAAAGAAGAAGAAAAAAAAAAAACCCCCCCCCCCCTCTTCATCTATTATACTCCATACTCCGTAGAGTCACCCCGGGATACGGAGTACTGTTCTCTCTCTTCCATCCCTAGCATCACTAGACATTCTATATCGATTCGAAGCCTGTCACTAATGCAGACATCTCCCGTCGCATAGCGCCGATCACAGTCTCCGCTGTATCTCGGTCAAGACGGGATTCCGGTGCGAAGAGCCCAAAGTCTAACCGACCATTGCGGATGGCGGCTTCCACATCGATCGTAGGCTGTTGAAAATGTAAGCACTTGCATAAAGATCGATCACCGTTAAGACGCAAAGAAAGCAAAAGAATGATGTGCATTTTGCCCACTTACCTGAAAGATGTGAGTAACCGCTGAGGCGTTTGGTTTGAGGTCCGGGCTCATCTCGGCTGCACCCGGTGGCGCTACACCATTGCCATTAATCCGATTTGGGGTTTCTGAAACTGCCCCGCTAAGATCTTCCAACTCCTCGCGTTGGATTGCTGTGAGAGAAAACTTTTCTGGGCCACCGTTGCTGGGTGCCAATTCTTGCTCAGGAAGTCGCAGGAAATTCACGCAAGTGTCGATTCGGGCCCCCGTCCATTCGGCAATTTCTAGGAGAGAAACACCCGAGTATTCCGGTCGGCTAATCTCGTTGATTTCAGTTTGGATCCTGCGGGCGGCGTCCAGAAGGGTGACGTTGGAATCGCTGAGTTTGTCATCTAGTCGTAGTGGAACGATGTTAACAGTGGGAATCACAGATTCGGCTAGACCCTCTATGGAATGGGATCGATTGGCAAGGTACAGTCCAACAGTTAACCGCCTGTGAGACCCTGCATTATCTACAGTTTCAGCTGCACCGAATTCCTGCAAATGTACTCGAGCATAGACTGCTAAAAAGACGGTCTGAAGGCTAAGGCCCTGGCGCTTAGCAACCTTTTCGACACTGGCCATATTTGAAACCAGACCTGGCCGGTAGTGATGTTGTACAGTGCCGAAGCCATCCCCGCGTTTTACCTCTGCTGGGGTCTGGCCTAGATACTTTTGCCAGAATTGCCGCCGGGCATCCACGGGCGAATGAACGTGCTGGAATGCCACGAGCTGTGAGAGATCAAGGTTGGGGTTTGGCTTGGAAACTTCCTCTTGACTGCAGTGTGTAACAAGCCTGTCGAGGATATGGGGTAAACTAACGGCATCGTACAGTGCATGGTGAATTTGCAGAATAAGCGCCGTCCCCTTGTTCGTTTGACAGGCATGTAGTGCGACTGGCACTTCCTCAAATTCTTGCTTGAGGCCTTTTGAAACAAGATGCGGATCAAACTTGGAATGCCAGATCACAGGAGTGTGCACAGCCTCAAACTCAATCTGCATATAGGGCAATAGCCGATGGTCGGTAGTGGGAATGAATGTCGTTCGAAGCATTGGGGTTTGGTCTATGACCCGAGCCCAGGCCCGATCGAGTACCTCAGGGCTCAATTGTCGTGATGCCACATAGTAAAACTCCGGATAAAATATCTCGGGATTCAGGGTGTGCATTGAGAGGAAATAAGTCTGCCCTGCAGTTGCGGGGAACACCTTTCGCACCCGTTGCAAATCAATACCGTGCGACTGTAGTAGTTCTGCCACATCGATACCATCGAGAGACTCGCGGAGAATGCTCGACATATTTGTAACAGAGAACTCCGTCTGGTTGCTGTTGGCTGCTTTGGCCATGTTTTCGATGGTACCAGCCCGAATCATGTCACTGACCGCGAGCTTGACGGACTGTTTCTTCAGGAGTGCAGCCACCTTGATGGCGCTGATGCTGTCTAGACCAAGCTCGAAAATCGTGGAGCCCTTGTCAATAGAGTTTTCAGACACCCCGGATGCAATGGAAAGAACCTTGCGGATCTTTGACTCGATGGGCAGCCATACTGCTTGATTGAGTGTCCGAGGCACCGAATCAGTCTCGATATCTTGTCCAGACTCATACTGGAAAGCCGCGCTTCCGCAAATCTTCACTCCTTCGTTGGTAAATTCGACAGTTTGTTCAGATGGGCCATCAATGATAGACGAAAGGATATCGCCCATCTGCACCAACAATGCAAGCGTATCTTGATCCCCAACAACATTTCCACGACACGCAACCCGCCCAACCAGATCCTTCCCGACACCTTCAACTTCGGCGCATACAGGGTATTCAACATCAGCTGCTCCACCGTTAGATTTATACAAAACCTGCCCAGGCCCAGTCTGGATATTTTCCACCGGTCTCTTCTGATACATGAAAAGCGTATCAAACAACGCCCGCGATCCCGTATCTGGTCTGGCGCGCCGAAGCGGGAAATGCTGATGCTCCGACATAGCCAGGAGAGCCTCCTGCACACACTTCACCAATTCTACGCGCGTCCCATGAAGAATAACTCGCATAGCGACAGTGTTCATGGTCGGGAACATCACATGCTCAGAGCCAGCCACGTTCCGACCAGAAAGGACAAGTCCAAAGGCCACATCTAGATTCTTGGCATGCGTAGCAAGGACAAGAGACCAGCAGCCGACAAGAAGTGCCTGGATAGTAATACCATGGCGTTTGCAGAACGTCTCTGCCTTAAACAGCGGAACGGATAACGATTGTTCTGCTCGGTGAACGACCGCCGGGTTATTGCCAGCGTGCTCCATAGGTGAGAATAACACCGGGGTGAAGTTTGATAACGCTGCTCGCCAGAACCTGAATGCTTCATCGCCAGAGGAGGCAATGATTTGCTCAAGAATGTCATCGGCTGGCGGGCGGGAACATTTTGCACCAGCATAGGATTTGGCAACATCTTCGTGGAGCAGATTGATTGACCAGCCATCATAGAGAGCATGCGCAATTGACAAAACAAGGTACCGCTTATCTCCATCCACCGCAATGGTGATAGAGAGCAGAGGGCGGCTTATCTGTTCATTGCGGGCTTTTGAACGCTGAGTCTCTATAATGGATTCCACGGATACTCCGTGCAGATGGACAGTCTCGAGGTCGATTTGATCCTCGCCATGAACTATTTGGGCGTATGAAACAGGAATTTGCGGATCCCAGACTTCAACGAATGAAGTACGGAGGATAGGGTGGGCTCTAACGACAGCTCTCCATGCCCGCTCCATCTTTTCGATGTCCACATCTGGCTCCAGCTCGAGGATTTCGTGGTTATAATAATGCTTGTACCCAGAGGCAGACATTTCTGCCACCATAGCTTCTTGAATGGGTGTAGCTGGTAGGATTCGAGTTGCGCTCGGGGGAACAAGAGCTTCAGCCCCGAGGAAATTGGCCAACGATTTCTCTAGTTGATTGAGCAGTAGTAATGTCCCATCTTTGATATGACCATTTATCATTGAGAGTTGCTCGCTCATGGCTTTCACTGTACGATGGCGCATAATGGAGCTCACGGGAAGTTTGATGCCGGCTTTGCTCAAACGCGAGGATATTTTGATGGCGTCGATGCTATCAAGTCCAACTTCAAAGATTGATGTGTTCTCGCTGATGGATTGTGGCTCTACTCCCGCAAGGGTTTCAATCACGTCACGGATTGTGCAAGCCTGGTAAGTCCATCCGAACAAAGAGCCATTGGTGTGTTCACCATTGGTATGTTCTGATGTTCTCGAATGCTCATGATGGCCATTCACTTCACCGTTCGCCACGACTTGTGTGGGTGACACCCCGTTTAGCTTGGGCAGCTCTTTGTTGGGGTCTTGCGCAAACTCATAAAGGATTCGCTCAAACTTATACAACATCTGCTGAGCGTCCTCTGATGATACCGCATGGCTCTGTGCGGCAATAGTGGCTGTTAGAGTGTGATTGCTATTGCGCACAATTTCAAAGGCCAGAGGGTATTCATGCTGGGCCTCTGAGTCGAGTGTACGCCAAAGACTTTTTGTGGGGGATTCAATCTTATCATCTTCCCTCTGGAATACGAACAAAGAATTGAAGAGTCGCTCATCGGGGTTCTTTCCGAGCCATTTCACAATGTCCCGCAAGGGAGTGTATTGAAAAGGAATGGTAGACACGTGGTAGTCATGGCAGCATTGAGCGACATCAGACCAAAACTCCAAACCATGCAGCTGGACGTTGCTGGGGATCGTGTTGAACAGCGGTCCAAGAACGTCGGCCATGCCTGGTACATCAATTGTCCTGCCCGAAGCAATGATACCAAGTGGTGGCACGAATGAGTATTGCTGCTGGAGAGTGAGAAGCCAGCAGGCATGGAGAACAGCTTGCTCCGTCATATTGAGAGACCGGCGAAGATGGTCGACCTGATCTGTGGCATTCATTTGAGTTTTGAGCAAAATTGGCGCGCTGTCCACTTGGCCGTTATCGGCGAAAGCTTGATCACGGCAGCCAGAAAGATGTTCTTTCCAGAATACCTCTGCAGCAGGGTCTTTACAAAGGGGACCCAAGTGCAACACATCAAGGAACTCCGGGACTGACTGCAAACCCTTGCTCTGGCCGAGATAATTTTGGGCAACCGATTCGAGTAGCAGGACCAGGCTGTTTCCATCGTAGAGAGCATGGAAGATGTTCAGACACATTACCGATGTTTCAGGAGAAGAGATGACTCCGACTTCCCATAAATTGGTTGAAAGACCGTCAAGCTGGGTGGCCCAGTGGCCATGTCGTTGCTTGCGCAAGTCATCAATATTTTCATTGGTGTCGACTGTAACAAGGAACCAAGGAAGGGGATCTTTCTTCATGATAACTTGGGCGTAACCGTCCGGTGTTGGCAAAAGTCTGGCGCGCAGCATTTGAATATCTCTCTGTGCCTGATCCCAAGCTGTGCGCAAATTCTCGATGTTGACCGAAGGGTCGAGCTCGAAGGTGAAAGATGAGCAGTACAGCGGCGTGCTACTAGACAGATAGTGGTATATGATACCTTCCTGGAGCGGAGTGCAAGGCGCAATCTTTTCAATCTCACCGTCGATGGCTCCAATATGCTCGATGATAGCGTGGGAGTTCTTGTGGGAGAAAGCCTCGATGCGTTGCTTGGCGTTTCGTTGGATCGTTTCCACGGACACGGAAGATGAGATAGACACCCGTAGAGCCGAACCCATTCCGGAAATTGTAGGATCTGTGGATTGTTAATCAGGTCTGTTCTTAGCCAACACCTAAGACTTCAGACTTACGCTTCATAATGATCGATGGCTGAGCCTGAGAAAACCCAGCTTCCCGGAGACTTTTCGAGAAAGCAATAACGGATATAGAATCCAGACCAAGCTCGTAGATACTGGACCATGACGAGATGTTCTCCTCAGAAGACCCAATAAAACTCGCCAGAACAGATATAATTTTCTGTTCTTGGACACTGTCAGTAGGCTGGCAAACACTCATCGAGCCCAATTTCTGAATATCTTCTAGAGAAAGCTCCTGATAGATACTCTTCAAGACTTTCATGTCAGCCTTGTTATTGGCAGAGAGTGGGAAGCGCGTCATCGGGATGATATGTGTAGGCACCATATACCCAGGAAGATGAGCGCGGCAAGCGCCCTTAATCTTCGACAGCAGGGGGCGGTCATCTTCTGAAGATCGGACTCCAGCGTCAACGGCACGAGATTTCTTGTTTGTAGTGACAGTCGTGAAAAAGGAGACAAGTTGGTCCTTCGATTGTTTGGGGTGCGTGATGACTAGGGTGGCGACTTCGTTCAATTCAGGCGTAGCTTGTTTGATGACCTCGTTAATTTCTCCAATCTCAAGTCGCTGTCCGCGGAGCTTGACTTGATCATCAATACGACCAAGGAACTGGAAGCTTCCATCATGCAAGATTCTCACAAGATCGCCTGTGCGATAGATGCGATCGCCGAATTCGGGGAGCTCTTGGAATCGTTCTTTGGTCAGCTCTGCTCGGTTGAGGTAGCCCTTTCCAACGAGAGGTCCCGACACGCAGAGTTCGCCTATGCTGCCACGTAGGACTGGTGTCATCGTACCGGGTTTGAACACATACGACCCAACATTATCGAACTGTGGCCCGATGTTTGAAGCTTTGTCGTGGGCAGACATCCGTGGGAGCATGGTGCATCCGATTGTAACTTCAGTAGGACCGTATCCGTTGTAGATAACACCGTGCTTGCCCCAGGCATCGAGAATTTCTTGCTTCAACGCCTCTCCGCCGGTGATGAAGACTCCCCTACAAAGGGACGGGACTTCATCGGGATGGACTAATCTTGCCAAACTGGGTGTCAGATCAATATGCGTAATTTGAAGGTTTTGTATCGTTCCAGTCAAATCTTCGAACAGCAGATCTCGCGGACAGGATGTGACGCAAATTCCAACACTCCAGCTCCAATACTGCTCCAAAACACTGACATCGAAATGGAAGGATGCAAATTGCAACCACCGAGACTCTCCGTCCCAGTGTCCTGCGAACAATCTTTGGAATGCCAGCATTGCCTGCACAGCATTACCGTGCGTGATCTCGCAGCCCTTCGGTGTTCCGGTTGTACCGGAGGTGTACAGACAATAACAAGTATCATCTGGCTGGATCGAACGGGAAAGTAAGACATCCCCTGTTGATACTCCATCAAGCAGCCCAGGATCATCAAGTGCTTGGACGTCAATAGCCGGAAGGCCCTTCAGTTCCATCATCTTGGACTGATTGCAAAGTAAGATCTTGGTACCGGAGTCCTCTAACATGAACTGCTTACGAGAGATAGGAGCACCAGGGTCAATAGCCAGATATGCACATCCGGCTTTCATGATACCCAGAATCGCCATGGAGGCTTCAGGGCATTTGTCAAAACATATTCCCACGATTCCACCAGGGGCGGCTCCCCTTGCCTGTAGGAAATGCGCAATTCGATTACCACATTTATTGAACTCACGGTAAGTCCAAGTCTTCTTCTGGAGGTTGTCTGCAGTGCCACCGAAAGCAAATTCGAAAGCAATCTTCTCGGGAATCTTGAGCGCGTTTGCTTCGACAAATTGATGCAGCAGAGACACCGTGGTGGGGATTGGTGCTTCTTTGGCAGGGGTAATAGATAGCAAACTACTACCCACAGCCTGGTGATCGGTAGAATTGACATCTGGACGGAAGACAGTGTCCTGCAAGAATTTGTCATACTGACTCAAAAGGATCCTTGCTTGCTCCGTGGGGACAAGGTCGCCCCGGTAGCTCAGCGAGATCTGAAGATCTGTCGAGTGCGGAATTAACTCAATAGATATGGGGTACTGTAAAATGTTAGTGTAAATCCTGCAAAACTGTGGGGTATTCCGTCTGCTTATTCTACCTACATCAATGTTCGTCTCCTCGTCAATAATATCCCACCCATCAGTACCAACAACGTCCGAAGTAAACTTCTGATAGACAAACAGCGTGTCGAAGAGTGGCTCATCGCTACCTAGCCATCGCTGAATATGCGACAGAGGCGCGAACTGATTCTTCACCAACATAGCGTTTCGCTTCAACATACAATCCAAAAGCTGTCGGTTGGAACCCTCAATACGCAGGGGCGTCGGCACTGTGACCAAACACGGGAATACCGCATCTTGAGCGGCGGCGGATAAGTTCCTACCCGAAAGCACTGTTCCAAATGTGACATTGGACTCGCCCGTGTATGCAGAGAGCAAGCGAGCCCATGCGGCTTGCCCCGCTGCTTGCAGTGTCACCCCTATATCTCGACAGGCATCTTCAAGAGCCTTGCGAGACTGTGCGCAATATATGGAGGTTGTGAGTAATGTTCGCTCGTTTGTGCGGATGGGGTGTAAGTCAGGGAACTTGGAGGGTTGCACTTCTGGGGCCAGTTCTTTCCAGAAGGATTTTGCGGATTCGCTCTGGCTCTTGCTTTCTAGAAGGATAGGACCGAGAGTTTCGATGACTGGTGCCGGCGTGACCAGAGCCTTTCCTTCATATGCTGCTCTAACGTCTGAAAATATGGTAACCAGAGACTGGGCATCGTAAATAGCGTGCAGCGCAGAGAAATGCATGATACTGGTGTTGTCACCGGCCTCGACTTCAATTCTCCATGGAGGCTGATGGAGATTTTCCAAAGCGTGCTTTTCTTGAACACCAGAATTGTCTGCCATGGAAGTCGAGGTGTCGCACCATGGTAGTTCGTTATTTTCATGGTAAGTTACCATAGCAAAAGGGTTCTGCTGATCGTGTAATTGAACAAAGCCTGTTCGAAGCATCTCATGCTGAGCCATGACCGTAGACCATGCTTCTTTCAAAATCGTCTTATCCAAAGGTGCCGGGAACTTCATGGCCATTCGATTGAAGTACACTTCGCCGTGGGAATGTGTAAACATCGCCAGAATTCCATTTTGAACTGGCGTACAAGGGCGTAGAGACTGAATTATTTGCGATGAAATCCCGAGTTGTTCGCAAACAGATTGCAAATGATGGGTTTGGAAAAGTCCAAAGTTGAACTCGATTTCAACAACCTTCGCGCTGGAAGTAAGAAGAGAAGCAATTTGATCAATAGAAGCAGCCTGGTGCAAGTCAGTAAGTAGAGAATTGAATTCATGATCAACAAGCAACCCTCAGTATAACATACCTCAAGAATATCGCCAGATGAGATCTTATACCCTAATCCACGCAGCTTCGCCGATACCTGAACAGCGTTGATACTATCTAGGCCAAGTTGGAAGATCGTTGTGTCCTGGAACACATTATCCCAGTCGACATCTGAAAATTTGCAAAGAATGTCGCGGATTATATCCTCGTGATAGGACCATGGGCGTTTTTGGCGAGATTTAGTCAGGAATTGAGTAGAGTTTGGCGCTGAGGACACCTTCTGTTCAAAGACTCGAGGAATGTCTGTCCCCAATGGCCGCTGATCGGATGCCTGGGCAAATGGATATTGGGTGATGTGTCTAACAAGGACCACAAAGTCCCGGGTGATGTTCTCAGCCACGGGTTGCGAGATATACGATGCTTGGAAGTGAAGGCAGATCTGGATGTTGTCGGCAGACTCGTCGGGGATGATCTCGCAAATCAAGGGGAATCCCATGTTTCCTTCGTCCTGAAGAAGTTCCCAGAATTTGGGATCCAGATCAGTATTTCTATTCTGGAAAATGACCAGCGTGTTGAAGAGGCGAGAGCCATCACCAAGAACACGCCGTTGGATACGCCGGAGAGGGCTGAGTTGGTGAGGTAAAATGTCGTTATTGCTCTTTTGGGACAATTTCATGATGTCACTATTTGTTGCAGTCGAGGAGGACTTGATTCGAATTGGGAGTGTATTGAAGCAAGGCCCAACTATCTTATCAGCGCCATCCAAGGGAATGGTTCGACAACTGAAGACATTGCCGAAGCAGACGTCTGAGGAATCGGTGTAGAGAGAGAGCAGTCTGGCCCATGCAGCGTGGAAGATACTCAAGGGGGTAACGGAGAGGTCTTTGCATTGTTGTTTGAAGGATGAAAAAGAACCATTTAGGGGTGTATGAATTTGCTGTGATGCCGACTCATCTGCATTGACTGTGGGCTCGGGGGTGGGAAGGAGGGTCGGTGAAACACCGGACAAGTATTGGTCCCAGTATGCGTCCGACGAGCCATAGTCGACAGAAGTCATGTAATCGATGAATTTGCGGAATGGGGGGCTTGGTGGCAATGCTTGGCTTGAAAGCAACAGCTGCAGCTCCTGCAATAACTGGGCGATACCTTCTCCGTCATACAAGGCATGGTGAATAGACAGTAGAAGATGTGTCTTCTGTGCAGCCGAATCGGTCATTAAAGTCAGCGAGTAGGGCAACTGGCCGTTGACTGGAGAAATACCCTCGAACTTGGACTTGCACTCCTTGATGACATTCTCAAGTTCAGAAGAGGAGGTTTCAATATGGGACCATGGCAAGGCCGATGTATCCAGTACAACTTGAGCATATGCAAAACGCTTATCATTAGTTTGCGTGAAACAAGTTCTGAGAATGCCTTGTCTTTGCATAATATTAGCCCATGCTGTTTTCATAGCCTTAGCATCGGTGTGAACAAGAAGCAGGATGTGGTTGAAATAAGCTGAATTACCACCAGAATCAGCTGCAAGCATAGCCTCCTGGAGTGGAGTGCAAGGATAAATGCTCTGAACATTTATTTCTGCAGCTTTAAATTCATCTTTTACTCGATGAGTGAAATTTTCATCGAACATCGTTGGTGGTGTGGGCTCCACAGCTTGTTCGGGCTGATGCCCGGTGGTCGTGGGGGGAATGACAGCTGCAAGTTGAGCAATAGAGCTATGGCGCAGGATTGTGGACACGGCAATTTTTCCACATCCAGACTCCTGCAGCTTCCGCGAGAAGGAAATGGCAGAAAGAGAGTCCAGACCTAGTCTGTAGAAAGACGTGTGCTTGCTGGTGTTGTTTTGGTCACTGCCCGTAACTGCCGATAGTGCGGCAGAGATGGCCTTCTCAAGCTCGGTGAAATTATCACCATGATTATCGTTACTGAGCTTTGGAGAAAATATCGCAAGCTCCTTTGCTGTCAGTTGTTCCAGCCGTTGCCTCAACATAAAGTGATCGGTCTTGTAGGACACAGTGAGATCTATCGCGTCCACGAGAACAAGAAGGGATGGAAGGTTAGAAGAAGAGAGTTTCTTGCTGAGCTCCTTGAAAAGATCATTTGTAGCTTTCTCGATTTGCACAGAATCCGAACATTTTGTTGAAGGAACCCAAAATACTGCCAAACGCTGCTGGCGAAGTGCTGGCTCATCCAAAATCATGCTCACTGATTCTTGGGCCATTTCCAAAGACATAAGAGCACGATCAACCCTATCAAGATCAATAGACGGAGCATACGACTGTACAAGGCCGGAACTTCGAGACAGAATGAGTGTACCGTCAGGAAGCAGTCTTCCGAAGTCACCCGTTCTATAGATCCAACCGAATTGAGGATGGTCAATAAATCGTCCAGTCACTGACGGCTCGGAGTCGGGTAGACAGCGCCCAACTTGATCTCCGCCGAAGCATAACTCTCCAATGGCGCCGCGAGGAAGAAGACTGAGTGAATGTCCACCTTCCATAATCATCGCAGATGTGCTCTTCAAGGGTCTACCAATGTTCCGAACATAGGTCGATGTTTGCATGTTGGGACAAAGAGTACAGGCATGAGCCATTGCATTGTTGCTGTATGCTTGATGAAGACCTTTGTCGACCCAATTGCGATGGAGCTTGGGAGTCATTTCTTCACCGGAAGAGAGAAGATATTGCACACTGGGAACTGCTTGTGGATTAATACGGGAGGCGAGCATGGGAGGCAAGTGAAGGTGCGTTATGTTCATATCTTGACAGGCTTGCTCGATCCGAGTCATCATGATTAAGTCTGTAGCTGAGCACAATGTCACGCCGGCATGCCAAGCGAAGAATATCTGGAAAATTGATGCTGTGTTCTTGTCAGAAAGACAGCCTGGAAAAATCCGATGGAAAACTTACCACCTGATCCTTGAAGACATGAGAGAATTTTCGATCCAGTTGGCATTGGATACAAGTCTGAGAGAGCATCGATATTGCTCTGCAGGTTTTGGCGTGTGATGACGATGTTTTCCGTCAAGTCATTTTCAATTAACGTCACTTCAGCATAGGCAACATCAGACCCTTTATTGGTATGTGGAATATTGAACTCATGATATACATCCAGTGAATAAGATAGGTAAATCAGCTGGAGGGACTTCAAAGCATCCAAGCGATGATGATCATTTTCCGTCAAGTGATCGACGATGCAAAATTTGGATTTCGTCGTGGAGAGAATAGAATGAATTACCTGCGAAGAGGCCTGGGGAAGTAGGAGGAGACCAGCACCAGCCTTAGCAACTCCAAGCACGGCAACGTAAAAGTCAATGGACATCGGTAGATGAATGGCTATAAGATCAGTTTTTGTCACTCCAACATGGAGCAAAAGGTGTGCAAAGCCATTGGCTCGGGAGTTTAGTTGACCGTAGGTCATGCTTTCGACTAACGGAACAGGGGTCCCTATCTTCCAGAGCATCAACTCAACCGCTACCCGGTCCGGGTCTGTAGAGGCAATCATCTCGACGCTGGATCCCAAGCTTGGCGGATAAACTTGCTCGCGTGATATTGCGTGTTGAATAGACAACGTTGACGAGGGAAGATACGATCGAATCTCCTGGATCGGAAGCTTAATCTTGTCAATCAAGATCGAGGCCACAGAATCAATCTGCTCAAGGAGTATCATAACTTGCTCGAATGGTAGCACCGACTTTTGGTAAGTCGCACGGGCAAAGATGTTTTCTTCTCGTGGCTCAAACTCCAACAAAAGCGCAAATTCTAAAAACTCTCCTGCTTCAACTTCCCGGAACACCGAGCCATGTTGATCATCTGACCAAATACTTTCCTGCCACACGAGCGCCGTATCGAAGAGACTGCGATCCAAACCGATACCAGAAGCCCTCTTGATATCCTGAAGAGGAAGACTCCCATGCTCGAGAGACTTGCGGTTCATGTTCTGTATGGCCAAGAGTAGATCCGACACGTCTTGCATTTTGTCGAGGTTCATCCGTGTAGGTAAAGTTCTGATACAGGGCCCGAGAACAGACTCGATGCCCTTTAAGGGCAGAGTCCGGCCTGAAAAGACTGTTCCAAAGGTAACATCACCAATTCCAAGGTAGGAAGAGAGAATATAGCAAAACGCGGCTTGGAAAATGGTTTGCCGGCTCACGCGAAGATGCTGGGACACTTCGTTGAGTTTTGATACAGATATATCCAGCACGCGAGTAGCCTTGTCGGTAGTATGTACAATATCTGCATTTCCATAGAAAGTAGGGAAAGTTGCAGGATAAAGTCCCTGTAGCTGATCACGCCAGTAGGTTGAGGACTCTGTTGCCGATTTGTCCAGTTTGTGCTCAATGAAAAAGTTTGCGACAACATCGTATGGAAGCTTAGAAGTGAGCTCCTCTCCAGACAAGATACTTCTGAGATCTTTCAACATGAGTTGCCAAGACCATCCATCGTAGAGGGCATGATGGATATGCACTAGCACGCGGATATGATCCTTCCCTTCCCTAATCTGGACTCGGAAGGGGTTCAAGATATCGTGACCCGCACTCAAGCCTACATCATAGTCAAACTCCTGTTGCACGAAAACCTGCTTGTCAAGGGTCTTCCAGGTGAAGCGACCATATGAGTGATCCTTGAGGCCGATTTCCACAAATCCAGAGCGCAGAATTTCATTGTGGGCCATCAGTTGACCGAATGCATTTTTCACCGAAGTTAAACTAACAGAGGCCTCGAATTCTAGCTCGATCCAGTTGCAGTATGCCTTGTTGTCTTGAACAGTCTCCAAGATCATAGCCTGTTGGATATGGCTACATGGTACGATGTCCAAAATTTGCTCGCTCAAACCCAGCGAGTGGGCTCTTGCTGCACCTGCGTTTGAAACAAGTTGGAGAATTGTTTGCAGTGCTGCTTGCGTATCCTCGGTCGGGCTTGCAGCTTCAAGGCTGGTGGCAAGCTGCCAAATCCTGTCCACTGAGTCGGCCTCCAGCAGGGTAGCTACACCCAGGCGGATTCCTGCATCCAAGAGGTGGGACGCTAGACGGATTGCTGCTAGTGAATCCAGGCCGGCTGCTGCCAGGCTTTCTGTCGACAAAATTCGTCGGCCTAGCACATCAGCCACGCTCGAGACAATAGACTCCTCTTTTCCATCTCGGCAAAGTTCGTCGTCAAAAGCCTGGGCGGTGCTTCGGTGGCGAATAAAATCGGCTTCTAATGTTTTACGATCGATCTTGCCCGAGGGAAGTTGGGGGAATTGGTCGACGAGCACAAATTCCCCAGGAATCATGAAGCGAGGTAACAGCTGACGACAGACGTCTCGGAGGCTGCTGTCTGTCGTTCCTTTGTCGGTAACCAGAACAAATGCAACCAGGTTCCCGTCGATGACTATGGTTACAGCACTGCGAATACCGGAGGCCCTGGTGATGACATGCTCGATCTCGCCAAGCTCTATCCGCTGGCCTCGCAGCTTCACCTGGCCGCTGGAAATTCGGCCAAGACACTCAATCTCCCCGGTAGGGAGTATGCGGGCTTTGTCTCCCGTGCGATAGAGTCGGCCATACACTGGACTGTCTATAAAAGCCTTGGCATTTTCTTCGGGCCGGTTGATATACCCGTTTGCTAATTGAGGACCGCCCACCACAAGCTCTCCAATTTGGCCTAATGAAAGGGGGCGCAGCTCCGTGAAGGATGGCTCGTCGTTGGAGGGTAGTGCCATGATGTATGCGGAAACGGTTTTAAAGGGCTTTCCAATCATATTGACACGATCCCTGGCCTGGAAATGGGTGGCAGCGGTACAGTGAATTGCCGCTTCAGTAGGCCCGTACATTCCATGGAGAATGCCATCTCTGCCTTCAGACTGGCCAAACTCGTCTACCACATGCCTGGTGAGCATCTCGCCAATTGTGAGGAGCACCTGGAGAGATGGGGCTGCGGCTCGCGTGCGCAGCAACTCTCCTGCCACCGTTGGGGTCAACTCAGCGGCATCGACTCTCATTGTAGTCATCACATGGGAAATATCAAGAAGCATATTCTCTCTCTCGGAGCCGATGAGAGTTGATCCTCGCATCATGGGAAAGAAGACCTCAAACACGGAAACATCAAAGGTGGGAGATGCGAATTGTAAAAAGCGCTTGAAAGGGGGTATCAAATCATCGTGAGCAAGGAGTGATTGGGTGGCAGCAAGATGAGACACCCCGACACCTTTGGGGCGGCCCGTGGAGCCAGATGTGTACATGACATATGCCAGATCAGTGGATATGCTGTTTTTTGAGCATGGTTCTGTGATATCGGCGTTGGCTTGGAGGTCGTCCACGGTAAGAATAGATATATGCTCTTTCAGCGGTATCCTTGTTGCAAGAGCATCAATTGTGACCACGACGGATGCGGCCACATCTTGCAGGATAAACTCAATGCGATCTGTTGGCGCATCGGTGTTCAAGGGGCAGAAAGCTGCGCCAGCCTTGAGAATGGCCAGCCATGAAACGTACAGTTCCACAGACTGGGGCAGAAGTACTGGCACAACCTTCTGTATGCTCTTTGAGGTCGTCAAAACACGAGCTATTTGCCTCGCCAGCTCCGAGGAAAGCAGATCCAAGTCACGGTATGACAAGCAACGAATGTTTCCATCGGCTGTGAGGAATTCAATGGCGTTGTTTGAATCGTTGAATCCACGCAGGGCAAGCTCGTGTAGAAGTTGAGTCCCTGGCAGTGTGGAAGGTGAGGAATTTGAAATGGCTAGTTTAGGAAGCTCGGTGGCCGACAGTGTCACCTGCATACCCTTCTGAGCAGCCTGATCTTGTACGATCTGCTTCAGCTGATTACCCAGTTGGTACAGGAAAGCGGCGTCCATGCCTCCGGTCGCACACAAGGCTCCCGACTGGGTCGCGGGGTCCAGGGTCCACTGCAAGGCCGGGGATGGTCCATCACTGAACGGAGGATCTCCCAACACTACAGCTGTGTGTTTGGTAGAGAGGTCTGATACAGCAGCCAGATCTGCTGGCTGAACCGTCTGAGTGGATAGATCTGCCTTGACTGGCGTACCATTCAATAAAAAGACCGGGTTCTCATCTGTTGTGAATGCCCGTAGCAAGACTGCCCATGACAAAGCAAATATTTCGGAGGGGAGTTGGGCATCTATCTGCCAGGGTAGGATGTGAACATCACCACCATCATCATTGACGGCGGGGAATTGAGTGTATCGGTCCATAACCTGCGCAGTGGTTTTTTTTTTCTTTCTCTCTCTCTCTCCCTCATTCATACATATTTGAGGTAAAGCATATACCTATGTACCTAGGAAGTAGTCTGCTTAGTCGATCTAATTAGGTGCAACGTGAGTGGCTGGAGAAGATCGTATGCAGGCAAGCGCGCCAAAAGAAAGAGTCCCACATACAGGTTTTTTTTTTTTAAAGGGGGGTTTTTCGGCTTTAAAAAAGCAAAATCGAGGGGCACGACCATACGTGGGGATTTGTATGATCTTCCAGCGAGCCAAGCGCGGAAAAGAGAGGAGAGAACATTTGATGGTACATGTATGGAATATTTGGATCCTTAGTTAGTATTACTTGTTACTTGTTACTCTATTACCCTCTAGTTATTATTATTTATTATTTTACATATGTAGATATAATACTAATCAGTTTACACATCTGTATTTATTATACATATTATATACCAAAATACGCATAATCTCAAGATCAGACCATCCGACATCCATGGATTTCTCCCACTTGGCTGAATCAGCTGAAACAGTAGGGCTGTGTCCGGTTATGAATGACGTATACTTATAGGTACTATTGGTACTATGTATGTGTATAGTACATACAATATAATATACCGTTAGATGTAAACAGAGTGTAATTTGCATAATACATAGTAAGAGCAATAATAGCCTCATATAATATCAGTGTTACCTCCCCCACTTCATAATGCCCGAGCGTAAAAAATAATAATAATAATAATAATAAAATAACAGAAATCACCCAGTCAATACACTCCGGAGGAATTTTCCTGCAGGATCCCCCATGCGTTGCCAAGAGAAGTGACAACGTGCATATATACCATGTTAAATACGTACTCTTTCCCCTCCGATCCCCAATTATTCCCGACATCGGCCGTAAGACCTTTTTTGGGTTTCGAGGAATTAGAAATGGCTGTGCTCTGGTTGATCAAGTTGATGTGCATGAAGCATCGAACCTTTCCTACTTCTTCTTTTATCTTCCTGCATATAGTGGAGTATCTAATACGGTATAGAATACTAATAAGTATATAATATAATAGTATCACCTTGAGATTAAAAAAAAAGAAACATCGAACCATATCGAACCATCTTCCCCAGTGGAGACCCTCGGGATTTCACTGATTGATAAAATTGAAAAAAAAACACCCGAACCAGGGAAAATACGAAAACTTGGCAAAAAGCTCAAGCGAGGGCTTCAGAGACCTTCAGGAAAGGATCCACTTGGTCAAGTTATCTGATCCGCTCTTCTTCGAGACCATATAAAGCCTTTTTTCCTTCCCTGCTTTTCCTTTCTTTCTTGGAAAGGATTTGAAAAACCTTGGAAGCTCCCCCTTGAAGCTCTTGGATTTCCCTTTTCGGTTGTATATAGATACAATTTTTTGACCTTTTTCTTTTTTCGGCCTTTTACCTCTCTACCTTAAAAAACTCTTGAATCATGGAGCCTGTTACCCGCAAGTCAGAGCTCTCCTTCCTCAACGATATGGTACCACGCGCCCAACCGCAGTCAGCTCGGTCGCTGTTGCGACCCACTGGCGCGGATGAGATGCACGATCTACTCTGTGTTGGATTCGGCCCAGCTTCACTCGCTATTGCCATTGCCCTGAACGATGCTATGGACCCCACCCTCGGTGCCTCGAAGGACCCCAACTTCAAGCCCAAGGTTTGCTTCCTGGAGAAGCAGAACCAATTCGCCTGGCACTCCGGTATGCTGGTCCCGGGCTCGCGCATGCAGATCTCTTTCATGAAGGATCTCGCTACTATGCGCGATCCCCGCAGCAGCTTCACTTTCCTCAACTACCTGCACCACAAAAAGCGTCTCATCCACTTCACCAACTTGGGCACTTTCCTGCCTGCCCGTGTGGAATTCGAGGATTACATGCGCTGGTGTGCCCTGCGCTTTGACAACGTCGTCAACTACGGCGAGGAGGTTGTTGAGGTTGTCCCCGGCCCCACCAATTCCCGTGGTATCGTTGACTTCTTTACCGTCGTCTCGCGCAATACCGGCACTGGCGAGATCTCCTCCCGCAACTCTCGCAAGGTCGTCATTGCCCTTGGTGGCAAGGCTAAGATGCCTCCTGGTTTCCCCCAGGATCCCCGCATCATGCACTCCTCCAAGTACTGCACTCACCTCCCTCAGATGCTGAACGACGATATGGCCCCTTATAATATTGCCGTCGTCGGCAGTGGCCAAAGTGCCGCTGAGATCTACCATGATTTGCACCGCCGTTACCCCAACTCGCGCACCACCCTGATCCTCCGTGATACCGCTCTACGTCCCAGTGATGACTCTCCCTTGTATGTTCCCTCAAAATACCCAACTCCGAAAGAACTCCAACCCAGCTAACCTTTTGCTTTTTCTTTCCTAGTGTGAACGAAATCTTCAACCCCGAGCGCGTAGACAAGTTCTACGAGATGAGCGCCGAAGAACGCAATAAGCGTATTGCTATCGAAAAAGCCACCAACTACAGCGTAGTTCGCCTAGAACTGATCGAGTCCATTTACAACGACATGTACTTGCAGCGAGTGGAGAACCCAGACGAGACACAATGGCAGCAACGCATCCTCGCCGAGACCAAGGTCGCCCGGATCGAACACCACAACGCATCGAACCGCATGCGCATCCATGTGAAGTCAGTTAAGAACGAGAGCGAAGGCAAGGAAGTGTTGGATGTCGATGCGCTGATGGTTGCGACGGGCTACCTCCGCGACGCGCATGAGGGACTCCTCGAGAACGTGCGGAGCTTGCGACCCGCCGGCGCATCGGCCTGGAACCCCGGCCGGGATTACCGTGTTTCGCTCGACGGTGCCAAGGTCAGTGCCCAGGCTGGTATCTGGCTGCAGGGTTGTAATGAGAAGACCCACGGTCTGAGTGATTCTTTGCTGTCAGTGCTGGCTGTGCGGGGTGGCGAGATTGTTAGCTCCGTCTTTGCGGATCAGTTGGCCAGCGCTTCCTCGGTGCAGGACACCCGGGTGCGCGCTATGCTGTGAGAAAAGGCGTGAAAAAGAAAAACAAAAAAAAAAAACAAAATGTGACATGATCGTCGTTTCGTGTCTCGGGTTTGCTTTTGGGAAGTGGGCCGAGAATTATAAAATTATGTCCGGCGAGACAGCTCTCGATGATTCCCCCCTCCCTCTGCTATTCTGGGTTCCCTTTGCTGTTTTGGGTGAAACATTTAGACATCCTGTGTATTTAGATTCTTCTCTTTTTTTTCGCGTTAATGATGAGCTTTTCTTTTTTTTATCCACAAAACAGACCGATCGGGTCTACCCGATCTTCAGGCACTTAGGTCGTCGTAAAATCCTAGGCAGGTAACAAGTACCGAAGTGTGTGGAGTAGAATCGGCGTACACCGTTCCGATCGGAAGTTGTGCGGTAAAGACAGCTTTCAATCAAATAAAAAAAGATTTTCTTGACAATTGCGGGACAAGCTGAAATCCATAAAATCGCGCGAAACTCGTCAAGCTGGCGCTGATCGGTGCCGATCCCAATCCGGGATGCTATGTCTACTGCTAATAATATGTTGGATTGTTATAGATTGGTCTTTGCCTCTCTGACATTTTATTTATTTATTTATCTCTTTCTTTCAACCCGAAAAGAAATCACCACGAATCCCAAGTCCAAAAGGTGAATAATCACATCAAATCAGATAAATGCAAGTGGGTCCTGCATGGATCAGATAACTTGGAAATTTTATCTGATCGAAAATTTGGCTGGGCAGTTCTTTTTTTTTTTTTTTTTTTTTTCCTTGGTCTCTCTATATTACTAGATGTTTTTTTCTTTTAAAAAATTCTTTGGATTGGGCTTGACCGTAACTTCTCTTCTCTTCATACAATATGAAACCTGGGAACATACAATGTACAATTCATGAGTGTCCCCAATTCCGCACTAAGTTAAAGTGGCTTCCTAAAGCTCCATCACCTGCCTAGTCGAGTCTTTACCGAGATGGAGCCTGCATACGCACTGTTATGATTTGGTAATTGTAAATTTATCCCATTATTTTTAATCGGAAACCGCGCTTCCATAAACACCGTACGACAATATAAAATACATAAAATATAATTATTGCACACCTAACTAGTTAGTTAACAAGTTAATTTGTTCTGATTTACATAATAGATGCTGTATTCTACTCAAAAGACCCCATAACATTCATGCACCATGCACATGCCTCGTGTTTGTCTCCATAGCATGGACTAGGCCGGTACCCGAGAGATTAGATCTTCCCCAATTTCCCACTAGGTTTCGGCTCTCTCATCGGCGATATCGGATGTCTCCCCCTCCGTTCTGTCGTTCGTCTCCATGCCGAGGTAGGTTTCAGATTGGGCTTATGTGATTCGGACTTGTTTCGGGCTCTATTATTGAAAGCCGTTGAATGGACCCTATACCGTATAATAACATGGTATCGATTGCCTATTCTGTGTATATCTAGGCAAGTTTAGGGAGGTGACTGCCCTAGCATAGTACAAAGTACACAGTACCTAGTGTAACCAGCCAAGAAACCAACATATTGTACGCAGTACATATGTAGAACATAGTTACTCGTTGACCGCTACATTAACAGAAAATTTAGGACCATCAAAACACATCACGCCACACTGGACCCTCGGCCGTCAAGCATTCCTCGTCCGTGAAAGGCTGCAACCCTGCAGCCAAGGTTGCACATCCGGAGTCACTGCTGCTGCTATCCCCGGTGCCAGGGGTGCCAGGATCGTAAGCTACAGAAGTACCTTGCCACCTAATGTGCGCTGGCATATGCACCTCCAGAGCTCCTATGCAGGTACATTTCACACCGTACTGCGTAATGTAAAGTGTAAACCTGTCAATACATATCATATGTACCTGGACCTAGACCCAGTTGGACGCACCAATCGGCCCGTTCGGACGGGATAGCACCGCCCTTCCCAGGTAGGTATCTTTCCAGAAACCCCGAGAGAAGATCCAGAACTCGGCCTTTATGCAATGCGTTTGGTGCT